TAGGTCCTGAGTTTGGATCCCGCGAGGGGGTCGTGGACGTGCACTGCTGAGGAGTCCCGCACTACGACGAAACGGGCGCCCAGTGCTTCGAGGCTCCCCATGGAGGTGTAGCTTTAATTATTCATTAACATAATAACATAATAAGTATTCTAAATTATTTTAACTGACAAAATAAATGATAGATTACTAAAAATACGATAGATAAAGTACTTCTGTTGACAAATTTACTAATATACTATGCTGAGTTATAAACTATGAATTCAACAATGTCCAGTAATTCACTAGCCTACATCTATCCTTAGTGAAATTTACTTCTAAATAGATTATTTGTTTATTTGTATACCTTTTGAGAAGATATACCTTCCAGGAAAAGTATTTCTTCATTATAAGCAAAAATAGATAGTAACTAGAAGTGGAATCCAGTTGCATGTACCTACATCCCCGAGTTGATGTTCACTCTTGGACTCGAACCCAGTACCGTTCACTTCAAACTCCATCGCGTTATTCACTTAGCTACTGAGTCCTGATAGCTGATTGCTTGTGCAAAGTGAATATATTTCTTCATTACTCTAACATGATCATACTAACTCCAATGTTTTATTTGACTAAAGAATTTATATTGTCTATTTAATCTATGTTTTAATCAATTTAATCTTCGAAACATTGTAATATTGTAATAATTATATTCAACATTGATCGTTGGGCAGAAATTCATCAGTGTAAAGAACTGGAAAGGTTATTTCAATAAAAATCATAAATATATGAATCAAAATATACAGTTTAACTTACAGTCATCATCTGTAAAATGATTACATTCAAAACAAAATAGTTTAATTTAGATACAGAAAACTGTCATAGTAACATATAAGGCATAACTTTAAAACAATCGACTTGATGTTTTTGATTGGGATCATGGATCCATTGATATCAGACTACCATTGTAAACCTAGAAGTACTGGACGGCCGTTTGGTCCTACTATGCGACTTCTCAATAGTGCGCATACTGTAGATAATTTCAAACGGTGGTTATAGCAATTATGAATCATAAGATTTAAAGTACTAGGTCTGTGGTGTGTGTTACTAATGGTGCACATCTAAGTAATATATATTATCAATCGAAAGTGAAATATCTGGTGGCAGAAGGTTAAGAGGATCAAAGGAAAGAGAATGAGAACAGAGAATGATTGGTGTGGAAACGAGAGAACAATCAAATTTGAGACAGTTGATTGACATTTTTCAAGTGAAGTATTTACTGTATGATTATCGTTTGAAGCGAACGGTACTAGGTTCGAGTCCAAGAGTGAACATCAACTCGGATGCAGATAAATCCAGATGACGAGTCACAAATAGGACGAAACGCGTGGCAAACTGGATTTCATCTTTGCTTATAATATTTGTGACTTAAGGTAATATCGGGGCATTCTGAACAGTATACACCTATACCAATAAGAGACTGACCAATTGCATTCTTGAACATCAATCGGAAGATTCAAGTAAACAGTACCAAGTGAATTTATTCTGTAAGTTTGTATTAAAATACATTTTATCATTCCCACCTTAGTTCTCGTTCACTAATAGTGGAATGGTATAACAGATTTACATTTGAATGAGATGAAGTAAACTTAGAAAAATGCGAATCTATTAATTAATGCATTCAAATATGATACAGTATACGTAATCATAAACTGCATATCTATTTTGGTTGAAATTAAAGTATATTAAACAACAAAAAAAAACGAGCAGTGTGTAAAGATTAGTTCAACCAATAAAGACATTAAATCCTATCTTTCCAATGTATAGTATTATTCATTACATCAATGCCTGTGAACGTTTATATAACGAAAAGTCTTACATAAGTTGTAAAATTGAATAAACAGTTAATAGATAATGAGGTATATCAGTAGTAAATTTAGTGTTTTTATCTTCATAGCTTGTAAACTTAAGCTGAATAATGATTAACAAGATGTGCCAAATTACATTGATTTCATCTTATTCTATAAATCATATTATTATTGACTTGATAGTGTGTACTATGAAGATCTATTAACTCCACCTGGAGCCCCTCTGGGGGCTACTGCCGGCCCCAAGCCCGGATAAAGGAGGAGGGTTGGGCATGGTGTTAGCGACCCCACCCCATAGAAAGCTAACTCGCTAAAAGAAAGCCAACCAGAAAAAAATATTCGAACCATTTAAACTCTGCCCTGGGAGTCAGAAGGTCTTCAGTTAGAAGAATTATGATGCCTCGTGATGAAAGCCGAGTTCCTTCGGAAGTCACGAGACCGATAACCCATCTGACAACCAGAGCAACCATTTAGTTAGGTACATGGAATGCTCGTACAATGTGACAGACCGGGAGAGTCTTCCAAACTGCTGCAGCATGAAGATCTATTAAGTAATGAAACACTAGTGTTCTAGTTTATAATGTAGTAAGTAAACATTACAAAATAGTAATAAACACTATGTATGTATATATCTATATATGTATGAACTTACTTTCATCTATGAAATAAAGCAGATCAAAGCAAGAAATCAGAAACCGATTCAAATTAACATACTAAATATCTTTTATTTAACTGAAATTATATACTTTGTGAAGTAATCATTATTCCGTTATTCTAGAATTATATATTTTTAGAGTTTAATTCCAAATAGTTGGTTATGATTATGATTTTTTTTTCATTTTTTTAAAAATACTACTGAAAACTTATAGAATTAACAAGCATATATCATAAATCTGTTTTAAGCATCAGAATGGGGTATTTGTGTGTATGTGTGGATATTATAGTAATTTTAATAGTTGAGATCATGAGTCAATTGAAGCTAAACGAAACGATCGTTCAATTCTTCCAGTTTTTTTCCATGGTGATTGTTACTTCGTTTCCAAATCAATCATTCTCTGTTGTCATTCTCTTTCCTTCGATCCTCTTAACATTCTGCCATCAGATATTTCACTTCCCATTGATAATATATACTACTTATATCTGTCCACATCAGTAGCACACACCACTTATGTAATCAACAAAACTGAATTATAGATACTAATTCAAAATTACTACTAACAGTCATACTTTAATTTATAACATTGTTCTATATTATCAGTTGTTGATCATTAAGTCAAACTCATAATTTTTACAGGGATCAAAGATTCATCATATACACTACATAATGAATATGTTTATTTGTGAATTGAATATGATGAATGTCTATTGCCTTATTGATGTTTTGATAAATTCATTAATACCACAGAAAATCTAAAAGGCATTAGAACTTACTTATATAACTAGATCCTGAAATTAAAATGAAGGATAATACATGTAAATATTGTTATTGACTAAAGATACTGAACTAGAATAATGAAGATGTATTTTATTCACATGATTCTATATACATATTCTTTCGTGACAGTAGTTGTCAAACTGAGCTGAATGGTTTTCGACAAGTACCATATCTCAATTGGAGTTCCAGGAAAATGAATGCATGATATGTAAGTGCTGATAATCAGTTCATACTAAAATCAGGCTGAGTTATCCCAAAAATTGTGCAACTTTTCACATACAAACAACATTTCCAATGAAACAGACTTACTGCATATGAAAGGAGAAGTTTGAAAATATTTACCGTCATATCAATAAATTTTGTTGCTAACGATTTTAGATGGTAGCGATAAGTTTTAAAATATTCTGAGCAATTATAACAAAAACGCCTGGAGTCCCCCTGGAGCTACTGCCTGTCCTAAGCCCGGACAAAAAGGAGGGTTGGGCATGGGGTTAGCAACTCCATCCCGTAGAAAAATAACTCACTAAATAAAGCTAACCAAAGTAATCGTAACAAAAGCTGCTGACAAATCATTCCTTACGTATCTGAATCTTATATCAGGTCTATTAATCATTTTCCCTGTAAGTAAAGATTTTAAAGTTTTCTTACTCTTTAGTGTCCGAGTAATTTTTTACTTCAGGGTATGTTTCTAACGTTTCATTATATTTTCTTGAATTTTCTTTTAGTCAGTACTGCCGATTTCTAAGTTATATTATTCTCCTATGTTTGTATGTTATTAGAATAATACTGACCGATGATTCTTTCCACAAGGGACTAGGATGTGAAATTTGTAATAAACTTATTGTAAACGATTGTAACTTCATCATTATTGAATAGGAAACTATCCATTTACTGTAAGCATTGGAAAATACTACCGATTTTGATTTAGTGATTGACGCTTCTGGTATTATTGATAAAAATGTAGTGATTGAACTATTTTATATCTTGTAGATGTATGACGCTAAATAAACCGCTTTTATGAAGAGATCTGATGGCTTTAGAAAAATTTAGCTCGAGGAACTTAACACTACTGAAAGCATTACCCTGAGCTACAAATTTATGAAGATCTGATTTCATCAATTTTATTGTTACACCAAAAGCGATTCAACACGAAATTGCAAAAAGATATCACAACTAAACTAAACGAGACGTTTGCCTAGGAAGACTGAATCGTACGAGTAGATATAATTTCTTGAGAATGAACAGTCATAAAGTGTTATACAGTTTCTTGGAGTCTATAGCCTTCACTAATAATAGAAAGATTTGATAAACTAATTTACAAATGCAAACAATCGTTAGGCTTTGAAGAGTATCTAACAAAATCATTTGAACTGATTATATATGGTGACATAACTATTTCACATATCGGTAGTATTAATGTAAAGACATGGAATTAAACTTTGGCAAAATTCTTCTTGTACTATAACAAATTTGTATTTATTACTCCGAAAATGAAGGAATCTAAGCTAAAATCAATCGGGTATCGGACAAAGTCTTTATAATTTTAGTACACTGAAAATGTTCGTCAATAGGATTTGTTGCATAAGTGACGATCATTTGTGTTGTAATTTATTCATTGTATCATATAATTCACCATACCAACGACAAAATGTTCACAATAGGCTACATAACAATTAGGAAATAAGCAAAGATGGATAGTGGATAGCAGTAGAATAAGTGATACGCGTTTCGTCCTATTTGGGACTCGTCACCCCCACTGCACAAGCAAGTGGCTATAAAGACTCAGTAGCTAAGTGGATAATGTGATGGCGTTTGAAGCGAATGGTACTAGGTTCGAGTTGAAGAGTGAACATCAACTCCGAGATACAGGTACGTCCAGCCGACGAGTTCCAGATGGGACGAAACGCGCGAACTGGATTCCACTTCTAGAAACTATTCATCTTTGTTCAGAATGCTTGTGAATTAAGGCAATATCGAGCAAGATGCACAGTATGCAAATATACCAATAACAGACTGACCAATTGCATTCTTGAACATCAATGAAACGATTCAAGTTAACAAAACCAAGTGAATTTAAATAGCAAGTAATTTACAAATATTTTAAAAAACCAACAGAACAATTGAACTTACTTCCATCTGTAGCAAAACAAACGAATGAAACAAAGACCTCATGATTATTTATGGGATTAGGATTTTATACAAATTCATTTAATTCATTATATTTTCAGTATGAGTTTATGGAGATTATTAAGTTTTTGATTGAGATCATGAATTGATTGGTGTTAGACTGTGGATACTCACTGATGAGGAGTCCCACAATAGGATGAAACGGCCATCCAGTACTTTCAGGTTTTCAATGGTGGTCTAACATCAATCGGTTCATGATCTCAATCATTATATTTTATTGAATTGTTATACTTTTAAAGCTTTTACAATTTATAATTTGAGGGAATGATAATTCAGTTATAAATTTTTATTATGCATAATTTCTTATTCCAGAAAATAAATAATTTAATGTACAATCACTTTTAACATTGATACAGTTTCAAGTGCGATACGAATCTCAGTCTAGTTTTTTGATAAAATATTTAACTACTACTGATGAAACATTTCATATAGTAATATGTTTCGTTATTATGTGTTTTCTTTAAGAACCATTATTCGCTTTTACAGAATGAAGAAAATTCTTATATCTAAGTACTATGATAAATAGTAACGATAATACATTATTATGCATGCAAACCCCACTCTGATCATAAACATTATGTGCTCATTAGTGACTGGTTCAAGATCATTCAATGGAGTTCTAGTGAGAAGTCGTGACTAGTGGAGTCTAACCCGTTTCGGGTAGAGACAGGTATCTACCTAAGACAATGGATGAATGATTGTACAAAATCATGGATCGATGGAAGTTAGACGTTAACACTGCTGGATACCGGCTCAGTGGTCTAGAGTTTAAGTGTTCGCACTCGAAGCTGATAGATCCTGGGTTTGAATCCCGCGAGATGGGGTCGTGAATGCACACTGTTGAGGAGTCCCATACTAGGACAGAATGGCCATGCGTAAAACATGTAAGCAATTTAATTTTAAACATAGCAATTATTTAAAGCTGCTAAAATTAATTTGAATTCAAGATAATGAAATTGTTAATAAGATGAGGATGATAATGACTTAAAATTTCAACATACATTGATCACTTTCTGAATAGAAAGAAAAATCAATTACATAGAGTTACACTGAACTAACAGAAAACAACATTTACAAATTAAAGTTCAACTTTATGGATGACAAGTAATTGACATTTATATAATCAGTCTAAAAGATAGATAATAGTAACTCCAATATTAATGTATGGTTAAAATGAAAGTTTTGTTTATTTAACACTAATTATCTCTCATGTATAAGAGAATAATAACTTCCAGGTCTTCATTGGTTATCTTACAAACACTTAACTGTTCTTTGTAATAGGGATCATTTCAGTAGGATATTAAACTATATTTAGTTCACTTTCAGTTAGAATCGAATCAATATACGATACTACTAATTCGTAGTTAATAAATGGAGCTTTTGATTATGTTCAAATGACAATTCTTTAAATTAGAACAACACATATAAGCGAACAATTGTTTTCAATTAGATCGTCATCAGGCTTTACTCCAATATACATGAATATCTATACGAACCAATCAATCATCTTATTGATAGCATTCATACTGTAGATAAATCGGAAGCATTTCGAGTGATCTATCGTATAGCTCCATCATTTCCCAACGGAGTTCGTTCCCGCCTCCTACATATAGCTGAAGCCATAGGAATTTGTACATATAACCCCAATTTATGTGTACAGCAGAAATTCGTAGCCCTCATCCCTTCCATGGCCAGTTATAACTTAACAAACGATTTTTTAAAATTTTTGTTATTATGATTTATTTATTTTATTCTATTTTTGTTATCGTTAACCTTATTTTCACATCCATTATTTGTATGTCATTTTCCGCCTCTTGCCGTTTGCATTCTTCACTATCTAATTATTTGCACAATTCTTATTACGTAATGATTTTAATGTTTTGTGATGACTATCCTAAGTCTATTTACCCACGTTTGACCTTCTATTTCCAACGTTTAACTATTGATAAGACTTTTGTTATCGTATTTTATTATTCTTACCACTATCAGTAAACCTGTCTTCTTACTATCAACATGAATTATGTGTGGTGACTTATTCTATTTCATTGTGATTATTGACCCATATTGCCTTGATTGGCTTAACATTTTCGTATAAATATTCATGTATTTGAGAGTAAAGCCTGATGACGATCTAATTGAAAACAATATTGTTCGCTTATAAATGTTGTTCTAATTTTCATGATGGAAATCTTTAAAATTCTCTAAATGTTATGTTATTCTTTATTCGCTTTCTAACTGAAAACATTGTACTTTTGTGTCTCATGGTAACTATCACCACTATAATAAATAACACACCACTTGAACTTACTTATATAACTAGCTCCTGAAATTCAAATAAGATAAATTAAACGTATTATATCATATTCTATAACTATTGAATATCAATTAAATGATAATGTACTAATTAACAGATAGAATATTTCAGTGGTTGAGATCATGAGTCAATTGAAGCTGGACCACCGTGGTAAACCTGGAGGCACTGGATGGCTGTTTTGTTCTATTGTGGGACTCCTCAGCAGTGTGCATCCACGATATAATGTTCTTATTATAACCTTCTTAGTTAAACAAATGACGTCTAACTTTCATAACAATATCTAATCCCCTTTTAAGAGAATAGTTAGAATTCATCGCACTGATAGAAATGAAACATTTTTAATCAGAACAAGGTAAATAATCTACCTTCATATCATATGAAATCATAACGTCTACTCAGTTATACTTCAGGGTCTTTGATAAAAACCTAAACAGAATGATACATCCGATAAACTGTTTGTATCGCAATTACTTTCTATGTAACGATATGCGTATATCGTTCTATGTCATGTTTATACTGACTAACAATCTATCGAAAAATATTATGAATAATGTTAGTGATGATTTGTATATTTTAAAAAACAAAAACTTTCTTGGAACAATGTTGAATTTGTATTAGCCAACTGTTAATGAATTTGTAGTTTCAGTGAGTAGAAATAAAGTGTAGTAATGAATTTAGAAGACGTTTAGGAAGAGATTGAAATCTTGATGTGAGGTGAAGAATCTTCATCGTCTAAATCAACAACAGATATTAGATAGCTTACTACTTACGACCACTAATCATTGAATAGTATAGAACTTCTTAGAAGTACCCATTCAAGAATCTTAATAATTAAACAGACGAATGAAATAACACAATTTTCATAGTATTCGATGAAGTACTTCTTCGTACATTGAGAAAAAGTATTAATTTGCGTTTTATTCAACACGTACCAATTCATTTCCTAAACAATAATGTATTCATCTTCAATCGGATTCTACAGTAGTTAGTCACAACAATGTCATACATTCAGCTCATTATACTTCGTGGAATCACAATACTTAAAAAACGACTGACTCATGCTCAATCCGTTCAACATTCTCATGATTAATTCCGTTTACAATACATACATTATGTGTCAATCGTAAACAATTTCAACAAATCTAACTAACAAATATGTATTGATGGTGTCGTTAATGACAGTCAATCTGTATATAATCACAATAATTGACATATTGAAATGTAACATATAAAATTGGAATGCCTGAAAATGCATGCTGAGTGAAAACATCAATTTCCAATTTATGGTATTCATTTCAAGTGTGAAATTTGTTTCCATCTGTTCGGTGTGAATATCTGGCTGACATATGACAGATCAGGTGAATGGAATTACACCACCTTCATCTTACTCCACAAATTGCATTCCATTCACATTGAGGAGAAGTGCACATCAACTCGATCAATTGTATATGTGATCACTTTCCATTGTGCAGTACACACACGCACGCACATTGTTTCCTTCATACTACTCATTACAATACATATATGTATATATTTTTTGGTATATAACAGACAAAATGAACTTACTTCCATCTGTGAAAAACAAATCGAAACAAGAAATCACATCAGATATTTGAGTAGTTGTACAAATATTATTTATTTGTATGGTGTGATTGAGGTCAATTATAAACATGGATTTCACTCTTATCATCAAATTTGAATGATTTCATTCTCACACTAGAACACAATTCCAAATGTACAGTCACTTATCATCACCATTATCATCATATGAATGTTTAATCGGATTCGAATGACATTGTCAGTCGATGTGAATTTCTGTGACCTATCATCACTTGTCATCTGACAAATGAGCTGTTCGTCAACCACTACACAATCAGCAACATATTGAGGTTTCATCAATCAACATAACCTTTGTTATTTCATTCATAACCATCTATTCTTCAAAGTATTCAAATACTCGTCAATAAAGTCATTCTGTTTACACATGAATCTGAAACGTGAATTATCTGGTGCACCTTAATTACAACAACCAGTGACCAACAGTACACGATGTGTTTGATTAGTAATATGTGCAATTCACATAGTTCATCTACTATCTGACTACTCACAGTGTGCAATGTCACAATAATAAACACTAGTGCAATTGGAGTGTATGATACATGTGGAAACTTCACTTAGTTAAACATTTATAAATTTGTGAAGTTTGACTAGCAGTTGAGTGGTTCTGAATGTATTAGAAAGTTTATAACGAGAATATGTATAATATTGTGATGATTTTGAACGTACGTTGTTCGTCTTCTAAATTGGGATTAAATCGAATATTTAAATGATATTAGGATAGTGATGATTGTGATTAGACTAAATTAGTGTTTATGATTTATTCTGTTGTAATAATGCTAGTATTTGCACTTACGTGAATGGTAGTCATTCGAACCTCTAGTATTTACGGTGCCTAGAACATCACAAAGCAATCAAAGGCTTGATGCGACTTGTATTAACGTTACATTTCTTCATGTTCATCGTAATCAATAGCTTTCAACTGTGGTAATACTTCATTGTATTAACCCTTTTACTTAAGGTACTTGAGATTTTACTAAAATGACATCCATTATTTATTGCATAACTTAAATTGCTTAAGAGCCACTCGTGTATGTGCCAGTGACTTTCAGAAACATTTCGGTGTACTGTTAAAAAGCTTCCCCAACAAAATATCTCTCCCGGCAAGATCACAAATCAACTTATTTCCCAATATCCATCCCTTAAAATTCTTTCATCATTTACAGATATAATTTGTGATATCTCTTTCATCCCGCAATATAATTTTAAATCTATATTATCTGCGATTATTAAGCATATTATTAGAAATTAGTAATATTGACTCAGAATTACTGTGAGGTTATATTTTCGGTTTGTAGGGTTTTTTTAAATCCAACTACATCTCTTCAAACTTCAGTCTAAACAGTCAGCCAATAGATAAAAAACTTTAACAGACAATTCTACACCTTGTGTTGTTTTATTTATCAGTATATGCTTATGGAAATTGTTGAGTTTTGATTAAGATCATGAATGAATCAATGTTTGACTACCATTGAAAACCTAGAAGTACTGGATGACCATTTCATCCTAGTATAGGATTCGCCAACAGTGTGCGTCCATGATCCCCTAGGTGGGATTCGAATTTAGGTTCATCTTGGTATTATTTAGTATAATGCCTGATAAATGCTTAGTTTTACCTGTGGTATCTTTTTTCAATGAAAATATATAGGAATTTCAAAATATTGTAGCTTACTTAGATAGTTTGCTCCTGAAACAGAAAAAAAGTTATTGTATAGTAACATTATCATACTTTAACTAGTTAAATGAGATTAAGTTAAACCTTTCTATGAATAGTACATCTATGCGAAACACCAACTAATTGTGTGCATTTAAATTAACCAAGTATTATTCGATGGTTCCTTCAGTGGGAATAATCAAATATTACACTTATTGAATACAATAGTATAGTTTTCATTCAACGTATGGTTTGTAATATTTTCCCTCTCTTAGACGTATTATACGATGATACGTTAATGAGTTAATGTGACTTATCACTGTATATCGGAATCAGGATTCGCGACCCAAAATAGAGAACCAGATTAACACTAAAGAATACTCTGTTCAATACAGTGACTCCAGGGTAGAAATTAACGATAAGAAGTAAAATAACATATTTAATAGTTCGTAAACTGTGGCTGTTTGTTCACCCTCAACGACTAACCATACTTTACTTTCATTGTCACACATCAGGTTTATAAATTAACTGTGTACTATACAAATAGATGAATATTGTTAATCCAATGCTGAATGTGAAACATGTCGTGTGTGTATAAATGTGAATTGTAGAAAAAATTATAGTAAGATAAAAACCTTCATAATATAAGCGTATTTAGTCGTTTATCTTCCCATAGATTTTGAGTTCTAGTATTCCTTCATATCTACACTTACATTTCATCCTTTTAAACCCTGTCCTCAACCTATAGTCATTCTTGTTGTTGCTACGCTATTTCAACTACATTGCTATTCACTTTGTTAATTTGACCCTGTCTTACTAATGTATTATGGTGTGTGCTACTGATGTCGACAGATATAAGTAGTATATGTCACCAATCGAAGATGGAATGTCTGGAGGTCGCAGGTTGAGAAAATCAATGAGAAGAGAATGAGAACAGAGAGCGATTAGCATGGAATCGAGGGAACAGTAAAGTCTTAAACAATTGATGGATATTTTGCAACTGAAGTATTTACAATATGGTTGTCAGATTTTATCAAGACATTCTGTAATGTATCAAAATGTGTTTGGTTATCCCATCCTGTGTTCTCGTTCACTATACCATAACTTAGGGTCATAAATGGTCAGCAATTTTTCCTAACATTTGATCCACATAATATATACATACAGCCGTTATCTTAATACAATTTCTTTTACAATTTACACTTATACACACACTAACAACATGTTTCACATTCAGCATTGAATTAATACTATTCAACTATTTGTTCAGTACACAATTCATTTGTAAACCATAATATTTATATTCAGTAATTGTAATATTTGATTATTTTCATTGAAGGATACTACGGCGTGCCTCAGAAGATAGTCAATATAATACGAAATTACTATGATGGGTTAAACTGTAAAATTGTGCATGGAGGACAATTGACAGATCGTTCGAGGTAAAGACCGGTGTCAGGCAAAATTGCTTACTCGCACCAAAGGAAGAGAAGAGGAATACCAAAGAACACATTACGCCGGGAAATGGAGATAGACATGAGAAAAATGACCAAGAATTGGATGGAATTAGAAAAGAAGGCCCAGGACAGAGTGGGTTGGAGATAGCTGGTCGGCGCCCTATGCTCCATTAGGAGTAACAGGCGTAAGTAAGTAAGTAAGTAAGTCCATTGAAGGGACTTGAGTCAAACATTGAATGCATGTCAATTTTAATTGTTCATAGTTTTATAAATTCAATTTCAATTTTAATGGAAGACTATTGACATTTAAAATGATGTAAAATAATCAGTAGTATATATCATCTGACAATTGAATATATATGTTATAAGCCAACCAAATGAACTTACTTCCACCTGTAAGATAAACAAATCATATGTAAAGCAATTAATAATCAATGGATGTTAATTATTAATAAATATTTTGCATGCATGATAGAATTTATAATGTCTAAAAAATAAATATAATATCTATAGTTCAAGTTCCGTGTGCTGATGAGTACCATACTAGGACGAAACAGTTGTCTAGTGCTTCCAGGTTTTCAATGATGGACTAGCATAGATGGATTCGTAAATTCAACTTTGAAAACATAAATAATTCATCGTTTTATAAGAATAATTTATCAAATATTCAGTTTAGGTAAATTATAATCAGTCTGTAAACTATACGTATTCATGATTGTTAAGTCTGATTTACGTCCTCTGTCCTTAATCATTTCCCTTAGACTCTTTCGTGCTTCATTTTATACTACTTATTATTATTCAGTAAACAGTTGTATCGCTAGCAATTTTTAAGCTTATGTTGTAACGCTAGTTTGTCGTGTAATATCCTGAAATATTTACTTATACTTATAACATTTATTATATGTATCATTATAATTACTTTATCGCAATCATTGTAGCAGTTATTCACAAGTTTTTTTATTTGTTTAACCCTTGTTTAAGCTCAACGGATTTCATATTGTTCTCTCTTGGTTCGGTTTTTGCTTGTTGATAAGCTGTTACCAAGTTTAGACACAGCCAATAGCTGTGCTTTGCACTATCATATGTTGTAATTATTCTTTATGTTACTATTACAGGAAGCCCTTTTTATTTCAGACAAAAGGACTCTGTAAACTCCGTAGACACCTCATAAGTTGAGGTATCTTATTCAATAAAGAACCGCTATTTTAGACAAATTGTTGTTTTGTGAACTTTGATTTTGCTCATATCTCAATTGGGTGAATTGGACAGTTCGATAGACTTAACAATGATAAAGTTTTAAGCAAAATATAATTCTGTTAAACAATTATTGTCTGTATAATAAAATTACAATTGGTGAATAGATAAATATATAAAACGTTGAAAATGTCCTGGTTCATTTTAATTCTATATTAAAATGACAAATATCATATTCTTAATTTAATATGAAGTCTACTTACTTGAAGAAATACTGTTCTCTCTTTCATATGAGTGTCCATCTATGAAATTATAGGCAAGAAAACAAGACTTTAACTTACTACTACTGATGAATCACTTCACAGAAGGTAATCAAACAACAAAGATTTGAACAAGAATATTTTGGTATTATTAGATAATTCCAGTTCATACCAGAACACATCCAATGAACACAATTTCATTGAGCCAGTAACTTTTAACTTCATTTATAATAAAAGGAAGTTCATTATTATTATCGTTGTTGTTGATTTTATGGATTGGATTTTTTCGTATCATTAGTAGATTGTCTTGACAGTGCTATTAAGTTATAAGCATATTTAGGAAAACTTCTAATAGTTATTATTTTTAGAGTTCAGGACGTGTATTTTATACTGTTTCAAACACGTCGGGTAGACGTATTTGGAATCGGCTTTGATGTTCAAACTAGAATGTAAATCTAATGCCTGCCAACTTAAATCCTCAAAGTGGTTTTCACTTAGCTGCTGAATATGTGTTCTAATATTAATGTGAACATTAAATTTAAAGTGTAGATACATTTAACTGATGAGTTCGAATTAAGGAAGAGCATACGTCTTGGTTGCCACCGCTAGTCAGTCATGAGTGAATAGAGTATAACAGAGAATTCTTCTAGTCCCTGTCTTCATTTTCCGATTGCGTTCGGAGGAAGCTTGAGGACCAATAATAATTAATGCCCTCGTATAGTTTTTCATTGAGAGCTATGTCATTCGGTAAACAGGTGGTCATCAGTTCTACAGGTAATATAACCAAGCTAAGTTATGATTGAACTAGACAAAGTATACAATGACTGATGTAATAACGATCCGATTACACAGGGCACAACAAAAGCCAACTGTTTGTTCCACTTTCCACCATTGCATCAAATTCATAACTAACTTTTTACGTTTAATAAGTGTATTTAATAAAATAAAAAGGTAATGGATGATCTAACAGTGTTACTGGACACAAGTTAGATCATCAAAACATCATTGTATATTTCATATAGTACAATTATTATGTTAATTATTTATAAACTTACTACACACTGGTGTTGAACTTCTTGTTGGTCGTCTCATTGATGTTCTGATAGACACACGATTGGAACCCGAAAAGTCATCTGTAGAATTGATTAAAATATTTTACATAATTAGATCAATGGAAATAACGTTGTTTTAGGTATGATATATAAGTTTATTCAATACTATTTAGCTCAACTCAATAAGATATTCTATAAATATCCTGTAATCTACTGATTATTACATCAATTTGTACATAGATCTAAGATGTCTTACAAGTAAGATGGAATACAGAATACTTGAATGCAGAATATATATGAACAAATTGGCTAAAAATATACCTGATGGTTTCGTATTCGTAACTGTAAAAGTAAATTAAATGGAGAAAGCATGGAAGTTTGAGTTCAACGATTTGAATATTATTAATTTTAATTCAACATTATACAATATCCTTGAACGTTTTTGTACAAAGTAGCTTTTATGTAGAAGAGAAGCTTTTAGTTGAACATATTACATAAAGCTAACATATATGCTGTCGATATTTTCCAGAAAAAAAATTAACTTCCTATTTATGTTTGTAGCTTAAAGTCAGTTTTCTCAATAAACCTCAATTTCGCTTAGTTATTGTCAAATTTTAGATTTGTTTTATTTACTTATTTATTTGAACACATAAATATTGGTACAAAGAGACACCAAATACATGTGCGCCACACAAGTCACTTGATTTGTGTGTGGGCTGTTATACTGCTCGCGTGCCCAGACCGAAGTAAGTGGTTTTCTTAGAGAGTCACACCAGGAGCACTTGACGTTAAGGTCTAATCCACAACGCAGTGGGGCAATATTAGGACATGCAGTCCCATAGTAGGTAGTGACCAACGATTTGTTCATACGCCGTTTGTTCCTTCAGGATCATGGAGCTCATGTTCACCACCAACTCACTTAGGTGCACCCTCCGTGTCCACCAACCCGGTTACAGCGTCGGACATTCATTTTTCGTATTTTCAGTTTCTTGAACAGCAGTAATGCAGCGAGAATGCAGTGAGAAGGACTTCCCTAGTAGAGGCTGTATACGCGTGATCATGTTAGAGCAGGGAAAGAGAGCTGACTCTCCCCACCCTCGGCCGTACTAGAGCATTAAGTTGTATCAATTTTCATAACTCCGCCCTGAGCCCCTCTGGGGCTACTATCTGTCTCAAGCCTGGATAAAGGAGGTGGTTTTGGCATGGGGTTAGCGACCCCATCACGTAGAAAACTAACTCCCTATATATGTGTTCATTTGTAAAACTAATTAAAACAAAATATCAGGTTTTATTATCAATGAATTATTTATTCATAATGTAAATTGGTTACTGTAATATAGTTAGTAGTATATATATTCAGTTAAAAGAAAACTATGTCAATTACATACCTATTGCTGCAAACAAAGCAAAAAACAAAATTAGGTGTGTATCACTTTCTTATTATATATATATTCATCTATTTATAATGTATATAACATGAGCATTTAATTAGAGTCGTCCATTAAGTGATCATGAATAAAGAACTTTTCAGCATAATATGATAAATGAACGTCTTTTTCAAAATTACAGTTATGTAATATACCCCCTTGTGGACCAGGGTAATTTAACATTGGTTTCCAGGAGAACCAGACATCATATAGACTTTCACGTAATAACCAAACATTGCACCCCAGTCCCGTTTAATAGGAGAGCTAGGTTAAACACACAAGTTGTGTTTAAATGTATGAAATTAAACTGACGATATCAGAAGTTTGGTTGTAATGTCTATCATATGTTCGACATAAATTTAGAATTTTTTATGGAATTGGACTGATAATACTATGATCTGTTCAGGAAATCACTTCAGTTAAACCTCCATTAAAATATCTTAAATTTATTTGGAAGAGATATTTCATGATAATTTAGCTATTATTATCTAGTTTATCGAAGATCATAAGCTATCACTTGTCTGTAAATGCCTTAAATATACGGTAGATATATCATTTCAAAAATATTAATATTCATAGTTTAGATTGTTGATTCATCACGGAACATAATCAAAAACCTTAGAGTAGCGAACAGATATTTCTTCCTGATGTAAGACTGAATTATCCGTTATGAACATTCAATGAGGACGAACCTGTAGACCACTGAACTGGAATCCAGTGATTTATCTGTCTAACTTGAATCGACTCGTGATATTGTGTAGTTATCTGTTATTTGCTGTAATTAACTCTCTCACACTCAACATAGTTTTACTCCAATGATAACGGTTTCACATTAGAACTCTAGGAATTACATCTTAAAGCTAGTGTAGTGTATTATAGTGTATATATAGTGTAATGTAGGTAAATCAGTGAGGAACGGAAAACTTTCACATGTTGATTCCCAGCAGTGTCACGAATGAGAATACTAGAATGAAACATCTTCTTATTTTTCAACAGTTATATTTTTCTATCAAATATTTAGTGATATGCTATTGCCAGTTCTGTGCAACATTTGTGATTAGACTGAAGCCTCAAATATACCTATAGCTATTGAACATAAGATTTAACAAATTCAATTTGATATTAAGAGGCTTATCTCTTTCACGAAAAGATATTCTCTAATCACAGTTTTCTGATAAGTGAGGTATACTTGAAAACATCATAAACAATTAAACTTTCTAATAGTGATAAATCTTCTAATTGGACGCTAGATTGTGTTTCCAAAGCTCTTCTAGTAATACACAGGCTAAACCTACATAGCATTCTGAACATGAGAGAGAAGGTACGAAACATGGAAGAAATGCTTTATTTCGAGGTTCGTTTATGTGCAGAAAATCCAGGGTATTTATAGCATTTTAGATTAATTTGGGCTTCCGGTAAGTCTTGGAACGCTACTAAACATAGTAGCAGTATAGGTAATCATGAAATCAGAAACGCGACATATGACGTTTCACTTTCTAGATGTTTCTAGTAAGACTTCTATCGAATGTTGGTTGGATTGGGGGTTTCCTCAGAGCTTTCAAAGCCATTTCGGCTTTTTTCGAGGAATTTTCTGGACCTCCCAAACAAACGGCTTATCAAACAAATCTGTAATATGAATTCACTAAAAGCAATAGCCTAAACAACTTTTAGAAAGAAGCAGCTGTTCTTGAGAAAAGTAATAAAACAAACTTCTCAAATACAATTTTCTAGAGCAATACAAAACTAAACAATGTGATTCATTTTAAGTATTTAAATTCATTATTTTAATTATATGAGAATAGTGTAAAGTATTGTTTAATAAGCAGTGACCAGTGAAGTACAACCAGGTGGTTTGTGAAATAGTAACTCACTAAAGACAATGGTGGACGGTGGTGTGACTTCGTGGATGGGTTGAAGTTAAATATTAACACCGTTAGATACCGGCTCAATGGTCTAGAGCATGTGCGTTCACGCGCAATACTTATAGGTCGTGGATTCGAATCCCGCGGGCGCGATATATATATATATATATATATATATATATATATATCGATACACAAGAATTAATAATGAAAAGTTTATAATCCAACGTAATTATCTAAATCATCTAACTTACTTGGACGTTCATCTGAATTCATGAAGTTTAAATTGATCACTGTTGGACTACATAATGAATTGTGCGCATCATCTGTATTCGGTAAACTAGTAGTAGTGACATTTATAGTTTTAGGTCGTAAATCTTCAGAACTTCTTGTATATACAGATTTAAAATGTATATCATCATTATTTGAAAATGAAGTAGGTCTGGAACGTTGAAAGTCTCCACTACGTATTGAGCCAGTTCTAGAACGTTCATCTTCGTTTATTATAGAGTGTCCTTCAGGTAAATATGGTGTATGATCCCAGTAACATTTGCATCTTTCTATATACAGAAAATAATTATATATAACAATTCAAAATTTAAAAAAGTATAGAAATGAGAAGTCATATTTTATCGTTATGTAGTTTGAGAAGAATGGATTAACTGGCTTGTCTGGAAGCTAGAAAACACTAAGTGGGCTCGACATTGGACCAGCCACTACAGTTATTATTTCACTTACAATAAATCATTTTTACTTTCATTTGCGTATTACTGAGCAGTGCTTTGTCACATAACATATTCTGATACGTAGAATAATAATCAGATTATGTATGGAAATCTGTTTGTGGTGTATGCTACTTATGTCGACAAACATAAGTATTATGTACCATAAATCAGAAGTGGAACGCCTGGGCAACAGAAGGCTAGGAAGATCGAAATGAAGAGAGAAAAAAGGTAAATAGAAAGGAGTCGAGAATTGGAAAAATCATACAGAATGTAATAGACAATTGATGGGAGATTTGTAACTGACTGACATTCACTTAATATAGAAGACTAGGAAGAACATTGATGCAATTATAATTGAGTTCATACAGAAAGACTAGAATGATTTTAAACTTTAAATATAACAATCAATAACTTTCAACTATTAACGCAATATTGATAATAAAATTTCTTAGGATTTTAGTAGTCTAGTGTCTTTGAGGTTCATTTTGGAATCATTTTCACCGTTCTGATAATCATTCATGTAGAAGTGACCTTTAAAGTTATTCTGTACGTAATAAGTTAATTCGTTCTCGTTAGCTGTCTAGTGACCTTTGTTGTTTTCATATGTTCTTTTACTCTTCTTCAGTCTCTTTCTCTTAACCACTGATCGTGTGACTAAATAACTTCCGCTTTTTGAGTTTGATCTATGTCACTATATTTGATTATCAATCGATCTGAATGTTGTCTTCCTTGTAACTTATAGGTATTCTACGAGTTTCTCCGATCCTAAATTTTAACGTATCTTCATTACAATTCATGACTGCTTTTGTCCACATTTATTCAAATCATATAATCCCACTATTCATGTATTTCCACATATGCGTGGGTGAAAGAAGATACATAGGATTACAAAAACTTAAATTTTCACAGCAATATAGGGGATTTTCAAATTGTAGATATTCATTTTTATTATACACTTCTAGAAAAAACATGTATGGCTACCAATTGATGACGAAAACATCCTGATCAGTTGTTCTCACAGTCCAATCAAATGATCAAACTATGTAAAACCTAAAATATCATACATTATACAGGAGGCTAGTGCATTATTTAAAATGTTGAGAATTCATTATTATTCAGGTAAAGCTGTACCGTTTTCGGATAATAACTTGAATTTATATCGTAAAAGAAAAAGATCAATTGAGGCTTTTCGTCATAGTAACCTGAATTACATTTTGTAAGAAATCTTATTCAGGAATATAGTTAATTCTTTTAACTTTAATTCATCATTAACTATGTAGGGATACTGTAGTGAACACGAACACCAGTGGGGACAATCAAATGTATTCGACACAATTATAGGACTTGTTAATAAAATACGTAATTTGCAAAATGTTCATCAATTTTCTTCATAATGACTCAGACTTGATTGTTCTTGCACTTTCACACAAATTGCATTCTGTTTCCATTCTTTACTGTTTGATCCTCTTGTCTCTCTGTTGCCAGACATTCTGTTCCTGACTAACATCATATACTACTTATGTCGATATAAGTAGCACAACCCTAACTCAGGGTTTGAAAAGTCGGAAAAATGAAAATTTCGCAAATGTGATAAAAATGATCTTGGTGGTCTTGTAATAGTATTCCGACACCAGACAATGAGTTTTAAGCGTTCTTTAAGCCCTAACGCTTCAGGCTGGGCTATTTCATTTACTATCCTACATATGTGTTGTATGCAGTATAAGCTATATGGCTATGTTGAGCTGAAGGTCTCATCTGAGACTGGAGGTTTGCCATTGATATTGTTGGTGGTTCGGCATTACTTTGGAAAGTTTTTCTGCTTGTTCATGCATAAAATTGGTTTGCTGGTTAACCAATTTCATTCATACTTGTGTTCTCAAGGGCCATTGTCATTTTGACACTGTAACACATGTCTTCATAGCTAACATTAATGAATTTGACTGTGGTGTAAGCGAAATAGGTCAACTTTGGCCTGTTCGTGCTGTGCACAATTGATTCATGCGATCATTGATCGGAATAACTATACATGTGACGTGAATGTGTATATGAGTGGTGCGAATGGTCTACCAGGATGCTTGTTACCTGTGTGGTTGCGCCACAGGATTGAGCTGTACTATTCAAATTGTAGCGTTAAAGCCTATACGGTGTCTGGTTCTCCTGTGTAGCGGGATTGAGTTGTACTGTTTAAATTGTCACAATAAAGTCTGGGTGATGTCTGGTTCTCCTTGAAATCAATGTAAAACTATCCTGGCCCACAAGGGTTTATTATATAGCGATAATAACTTTCATTAACTTTATGCAAGAAAACTAACCTGATAATCCTAGACTTTCTCTAAAAGATCGTCTATGACTTGATCTAGTTGAATTACGATCCAATGAATACATACTTTCTGTGACATTACAAAAACAAAAACAAAACATTGAAATGAAATAGAATCATTATTGATTTCAATGAAATAATAATGAGATTGTTTAGAGAGAAAACTACTACGTATCATTCACAAAAACTACTAATGTAAATGTCTGAATACATACTGTCTATCAAAACAACAACAACAAAAAAAAATTAAAGAACAGTATAGCTGTCAATATAGTCAAAGTATATTCTGTCCTTGATGATGAACCATCATTCATAATAAGCACTAATTAGTATTCTTAACTATATCACTTAGAATTCTACAATAATGTACAACTGATTGACATCAGTAAATGGATAGAAATAAATGTAAATGTAGTAAATTCTCATCATATTCTGATTGTAAAACTATAGATGTGATTGACAAGATTATGTAACAATGAAAAATACTAACTAATGAATGATTCTTAATAGAAAGAAAAATACCTACAGTGTATTAAGAATCTTAATAAATAAAGAGAATAAACTGATGTAGAAAGAAGGTACAATCTTGTTGATGAATCGGTTGTTTATCTAGTTTGAAATTATCTGTCGAAGAGATATTTTTATAGTTGAACTCATGAGCTAGACCATCATGGAAAACCAGGAAGCATTGGATAGCCGTTTTGTCTTAGTATGGGACTCTTCAGCAGTGCACAACCACATTTGCACTCGCGGGATTTGAACCCAGGGTCTATCGGTCTCGTTCTCGAACATTTTAGCTGCAGATCACTGACCTGGCATTCAATGATGTAATGTCTAATTTTTATGTTTATTTATGATCAGAACAATTTTTCTAATAAAATGTGACGACAGTACAAACTAATTATTTTAATCTTATATAAAAACCACAATATAAATATAACCTTAACTAGAGCCCATAATATATCAATAAACTAATGATAAATGTCTTTAAAGAAAATGAAATTAAAGGGGAACCATCTTGATTCTACATTTCGTATTGTTTGTTTAAATTATCCCATTGATATTCACGACTGTAATTGGTCAGTCCATTACTAGCATATGTGTATCCTGTGCTAATTGCCTCGATATTGACTTCAATCACAAGCATTATAAGCAAAGATAGATAATGGCCAGTATTGGAATCCAAGAAGCGCGTTTCCTCCTATTTGGGACTTATCAACTGGATGTACTTGCATTCTAGAGTTGATATTTATTCCATGACTCGAACCTAGTACCTTTTACTTCGAACGCCACTTAGCTAATTGGTCCTGAGAAGATACAAACAAACAATACCAAGTGAATTTATACTTCACCTCACTATACAAACTAGTGAATATCTGGACTCAGTAGCTAAGTGGATAACGTCATACTGTTTGAAGCGACCAGTTCCAAGTTTGAGAAGTGGAGTGAACATCAACTCTAGAATACAAGTACATCCAATTAACAAGTTCAAAATAGGACAAAATGCGCTTCTTACATTCTACTTCTATCCACCATTTATCTTTGTTTACCTTGATTCTTGTTTTTAAACAAACTGATAAGGTTAAATCAAGAAAATTAATAAAACTATTTGATCTACATATAAACATGTTTAGTATAATAACACAAAATTATAATGTATACAATATGATAATTCAAACTACAATGTTAGTATTTGTCACTTTTCATACAAATCTACGATAGAACAAGATTCATTTAGATGATAATTATCAATTTTATTTTATTACATAATCAATGACAGAATGTTTAGTTTTACACTTAAATCATTGAATAGTTCAATTATCTCATTATTCTTGATATGAAACTGGTTTAAAGTCATTTCCCTTATCCAATTATTCACAATAACTAACATTAGTTGAATTCCATTTTTATATAAATCAATTAAAGTGTATTATTAATTTTTTTGAAGTACGGAGCTGAAACTTGGAGAACTACAACAACCACTATCAAGAAGGTACAAGTATTTATAGATAGTTGTCTACGCAAGATACTCAACATTCATTGGCCGGATACCATCAGCAACAGCCTAATGTTGGAGAGAACAAACCAGCTTCCAGTTGAAGAGGAAATTAGGAAAACAAGATGGAAATGGATAGGACATACACCATGCAAATCATCAAACTGCATCACGAGGCCAGCCCTAACTTGGAATCTTGGAGGGAAACGGGAAAGAGGAAGGTCAAAGAATACATTACGTTGGGAAATAAAAGCAGATATGAAAAGGATGAATAACAACTGGAAGGAGCTGGAAAGGATTGCCCAGGACAGGGTTGGATGGAGAATGCTGGTGAGTGGTCTATGCTCCTTTACGAGGAGTAACAGGCGTAAGTAAATTTTTGAGAAGTGGGTTTTGTGGAGATTTTAATAATTTCAACTGTTGAGATCATGGATCAATTGAATTTCTTTTTTTTAAAAAGATGAAGTAACCAAAGGATAGTAAGAGTTGCCTTGACAAATAATCAAAGAAAAAAAAGATCACTGTAAAGAAAATATAATTAAAGTAGTTGAATAATGAAATATATAGAAGCAAGTAGATAAAATTATCAATATAATATCCTGCATTATTATAAATCGATTGAAGTTACAAGTGTATACTATTGTATACTAACTTAGTTATCAATAGATAATATTCATTTCAGAGATTGAAGGTCCTAAGTTTAATATTTTATGGTGGAGTTATGTGTGCATACTTCTGAGGAGTTTTGTACTCGGAAGAGATAAGTGTTCAGTCCTTCCTTCTATTTAATGAATGTTTTATTTAGGGTCAATTCGAAATTTCAATAACATTCAACGATCTTTATAAGCTCCATATTAGTTAAAAGGAAGGAAGTAAAGAATTAAGCGTAATTTTGGTAATTCATCGTTTGTTTGATAGAATGTTTATAGCGTGAATCGAATAAACAAATAGAGATGAATTTATGGGACTTTAGTCTTAAATGTAATCAAATATTGTATTGCTTAATCTTATACTGACATGTAATTCCTCTAATGAAATTGTTATCCTTTGAGTTTACACTAATGTCATAAAATATCACTCGGATGAAACAACTAGTACTTGAAATGTATGAAGCTCAGAAAAAAGAAGAAATGGAGTGGGGTCATTACGGAGGTTCAGATGCTGTTTTGGCTCATCGATTCCCCGTCAATGTGAATCGTGATTACTGGGTAAAGTATAATCATCCAATAATAGCATCGGATGCCGATGTAGTTTTTGGAACACACAGTCACTATTATATAATCAAGTTTAGATTATATTTTACTCGTGTTCCTAATGAAATAAATTACTTGAATATTATAAAGACTATTATTTTGTAGTCGACATCATGAGTCAATTGAAACTAGATCATCATGAAAAGCCTAAAAGCATTGGACGGCTGTTTCGTCCTAGTACAGGACTCCTCATTATTTGTCTTAAGTTTCAATTGTGATCTTTTATTAAATCTAAGATAAAAGGATGAACTTAATAAGGTATATTTCGTATTCTATTTAAAGTATAAACTGAGAATCTGTCATTATTCTATCCCCATGTTGTTATAACTTTCGAATGAACACTACTCCTTTTGGATATCTGTTGTTGACAGAAAAATCACTGACTTAAAATGAATGCAAACAGTTATTGTACATGCTGAATAACAAAATAAATGTTATTATATGTGCTATGAGTCAACACTGAACTAACCAGATAGAAATTATGAATATAGACAAGTAAATGTTTTAATGAATTGAAAATAAAATGGTGAGACTATAATTTATGGACGAATCAATCAGATTTAAGATGATCGATCTTCAAATTTTGGCGGGAAACCAATTCATCCACTTGGTTAATTAGAATTTTGGCATTATAGCTGATGTCAATTCGTGATTACAAACCATAAATCTAATCTAAATCATAATTCTAATTCTTCACACTGGTTTTTAGTCCTCATTTGATGCTAGCTATTAGGCGGACACTCTCAAAGTCAGCTTAATGTTATTCAAAGGTCATCTATAAATTATAATCTCAACGATAAAATTGTTACATTATTATTTCAATGTAAAGTCGTTTATTATATCATTTTTAGTATAACCTTGTAATTTATGAGAAAGAAAAATTGTAAATAAACATCTATCCATTTGTAACATTTGCCAAATTCATGGATACTGTAGTGACTGTGCTTCGTTGACCAATCACCCTCGAAACCGTTACCATATAATCCTCAGCGGTGTTTGAAATCAGAAGGCAAAGAGAAGCAGTGACTACAGTTTTATTAGCAGATAACTCAGATCAAAAAGCAATGAGGCGAATGAGTGAGTTAGCGAACCGAGATTGTAGAGTGTATATGTACATGTATATATATAGGGAAATGAATGGATCATTGAATCAATTAAGCAATTAATGAGTTGCTATAATACACTACTAAATAGATCTTTTACAAAAAAAATAAAAGAAACCATTCTCATCAAAAAAACTAACTATCCGACAGTATGATGTAGTAAACTACTTTGTTTCAATATGAGATAGAAAGAAATGTTTTTATACATAGAATGCATACATTTATAGATTGTATTATTTATGGAATATACTCAATTAGTGAGTAGTTAAATTCCATTAAGTACTTTGCTTCAATTTCAAAATCTATATTTATATGTTTTAACAATTCTACCCTCATGATCATAACTGAAATCTTCTCAACACTTTCAAGACAAGTATATTATTACTTTCACACTAATAACACTATACAACTTCTAATCACTTTGACGTTTTATAACATTCATTGATAAACTGTTTATGATGAATAACAATGACAACAAAATTAGTTCTTCATAAAACAAAAATAAAAAAATCCAGGCAATTTATTCTTTAATTTAAATAATCTCATACACCTTAATAGATGAATCAGATAATTATTCAATTCATTATGGTGATAATAATAATTTTTTTTTAATTTGGCATTTATTAAGATTTTTATGTATGTATATTTTATACGTGACAACTATTTGTTTGTGTTTTTTTTTAGTTGTCATAGTAACCAACAGAAGTTTTCTTTTCCTTTTTTTTTCTTTTCTTTTTTTTTAATTTGAAAGCACAAAAATAATCATTTCAAGTTATGTAATAAGCAACAAAATTAAAATTCATTGTATAATGAATAAATAAGTATAAAGAATGTATTTCTTTAGTTTAAATGTTTATATTAGAATGAAACATGTGACTGAATAATTATATTTTCGGTATTTCTATACTTATACTTTGAAAAGGCTTATTATTGTATAATAATTATATTCTTAATATGATTATTCATTCTATTACTCGGGTTTCTCCTCATTTGCGGATAAATCTTTCGCCTTTTACTAAAGATTAGAGAGAGAGAGATAAGTAACCATTTGAGGTATTCAAGTTTCTAATAAGATTGATCCGATTTGAAATGGTATGAATTATTTAATGAAATTTTATCATTCTTAGTTGATATTTGAGTATCGTGTAATTGATACTGACATGAAATTACAAGTTGATATAGAATAAATGAAATTTAACTAGCAATAGAATCTTTAATGTATGTGTTTGTATTATTTGTGACTAATAAGCTGAATATACTTGGATTCTGAAGTGAACATCAATGCTAGAATGGAGGTATACAGAGTTGACTGATATTGAATAGGACAAAAAGCATATCCTGGATTCCAATGCTAGTCATATTCCATTCATTCAAGAATAGGAAGGTTAATAGGTTTGCACAGTGTCTAGTATTAGAATTTAAGATTAGCATTTCGCTTTATTTAGAACTAACTATTTAAATGTATCTCCAGTTGTGTTGATTATTACACAACAATTCAAACCCGATATACTTGACCAATTCACTATTTACTGAGTCATTAAGTTCAAGTGTTCACTAAATTATTCAGTGAGTGTAATAATATTATTAGTACATTGTAATAACCAGTTATTATCACATGAAGCAAGGTAAAAAGAAATAATTTTCTCAAGTAATAACCTGTCAGATATGATCGGCAGAAATTATCTCTAATTAGAAAAGATTCTTGATCTGAATTCTAAACCCTAGATAAATATATTCTTGTATAGTTTGAACTCATTATGTTAACTTAGCTTTCTGTTACTAAGTGCCCCCTTTTCAAATAACTACAATTTATGGTAATATATGATATTTTTAGCATACTTTTTTTCACTCATTATAATCAGTCAATCAAATAACGTAATTAGACTATTTGCAATCCCTATCTCTCTTCAATAAAATAATCAAAGTCATTCAAATAATAATTGTGTATCATTTTATTTTTCATAGTTCTATCACATAGTTCTTAACGGTTACCTCTTATATAAATCATTAATGAACAAAGGTTGAGAAGTATTATACTGTCTCTGATATAAATGATACTTTGCATTACATATCAAAATAGTGATTACGAAAAGAGTAAGAATAATGATTCTAGCAAAAGAGTATGAATTCATTTTATCTCGTTGGTTCATGTCAACTGTTTACAATCTGTAATATTTAAACATCATTATTATTTACATGAAAGAGTTTGGTCGGAAGTTACTTTGAAGACACATCAGTATAGTATAGTCAGGGTGTAATTAAACTTCATAGATTGAATATTGTCAATATATACCTTATATAAAAGAACATTCTATAACACTGATTGTAACAAGAGTTCAAAAGGCTAGAAACAAGTGATTAAATAATGAGTAAAAACTGATAGGAATTAAATGAGTAATCAGTTGTTTCTATCCATCTAAACTGTTGTCACAATCAGTGTTGTAGAATGTTCTTTTACATAAGGTATATATTGACAATATTCAGTCTATTAATTTCAATTACACCCTTGCTATTCTATACTAATATGTCTTCAATATAACTTCCAGCCAAACCCTCTCATGTAAGTAATTATGATTTATAAATATCAACGGTTGTAAACAGCTGATGAGAACCAACGAAATAAAATGAATACACACTATTCTGCTAGAATCTTTATTCTTGCTCCCTTCAATAATGATAAAAGGAACTATGTGTATAAAAAAACAATACAAAAATGTATTATCTTAAATTTGAATCACAAAATTCATAGTATAAAAGCCTTAATAATAGTCGGATATAACTTATGAACACTATGATATCATTATTGGAAACATTGTACAGTGAGAATACAAATGATAGTATTATATAGTTTATTAACTTGCCTCTTGATGTATCGTTATCTGAAAATAATGTTCACTAAATTTTAATTTTAAAATCATTGAAATAAATGTAAATAAGTATTTCAGTAGTAAACATAATCCAATGGTGAAAAAAAATGTTCGCAAAATGTTGTGTATATATATACACTTTCTATAGTATTGTGGTGAACGAGAACACTAATGGGGATAATCGAATGTATTTGAATATAATAATATAGAATCACTTAGCAAAATCTGAGAACCATACAATAAATAATTCATTTGCAAAATGTCACTCAATTGTCTTAGACTTGATTGTTCTTTCGTTTGCACATCAGTCATTCTCTGTTCTCGCTATCTTCTTCTCAATCTTTTCAATCTTCACTTTCGATTGGTGATACATACTACTTATATCTGTTGATATCAGTAGCACATGCCACAGTATGTTTACGATTAGTCGAATGTTTGATTTAATATTTTAATATAATAGGCTACAATATGGTCTTAAACACATTTTTTCCCTCCAATTTTAATTGAAAAATACATACAATAGCATGATTTCACATTTTACAATGATGCTAAATTGTTCACATAATCATAAGCTAAAAACAGTAATGATTATTATTAGAGGATACTCTAAAGCTCTTTTATATATAATAATTTACAGTAATGGTTGATTATATTAATCTTCTTAAATTGTTTCCTGTTATGTAATTCGCATGTTTTTGACGGAGTTTTTTTCTCTGAGCTCAGAGAACAAAACTCCATCAAAAAACATCTAACTGAGCTACAAATCTTCTCTACCATCTCAAACGCGAATGTTATAGTGTTAGTAATAGTAATCAATAAATTTTTTGATATCGTATCTTTGAAAATCCCAAACATCCATTACAATTCATCTAATATAAATATTCTATAGATTTAATTGCTTAATAATCGACAATTCTTTAGCTGGTCAACTTTTAAACCAAACTGTACACTGTTACTCAATGAAAAAAAAGATGTTTAACTGAACTGTTCTAGTATATGTATCAGTATGAGGATTTTTAGAGATTGTAATATTTCACGGTGGTCTACCTTAGATCAACTCGTGATTTCAATGGTGACAAAATAGATATGCATATATATGTAGTCAACTGTTTTTGTTGATGAATGACAGTTGCTTTAGCAACACAACTAAGAACATACATAAGTATATTTTTATTAAATAAAATTTAATATTCTACTTTCTTTTTTTTTCGATTGTTAACACAATGAATTTAGTACACCATTAATAAACTATGGTGTATATATAAATAGCTAACTGCATAGTTAACTATGATACATCACTATGTTTGTTATTATTATAAATGTATCTTTGTTCATCATTTCCGATATTTGAATATGAAGTATGAAATAAAATGAAAATGATTATCTTACTTGCTGATCCAGTATCATTCACTTGTTTAATCAAGATACAAAAAGGCGGTATTAACAATATTATTATTATTAAAAGGTAATAATGTAAGGTAGAAATATGCCATGTTCTACATTATAAGCATGTTACTACAAAGATATGTGTAATGTATAAACACACTTGTATGCTAGTATGAAGTGGTTTTCAATGTTAGTAAACAAAATAAATGGTGTACTAAGCCAACTATCATAGTTCTAGAGTACAAAATCTGTAATCTATTCCAATTCTAATAATCTAATGTGTATTTGAGAGAAAATCCTGATGCATTAACTTGATGCATATATATACCAATATATCCCTCAATTTATTTGTACCTACCTTTTGTATATTATCTATTTGTACTTTATATGAAATGTAACCATACGCTTTAATTCTTAAAAAAATATTTTCCTTAATTAATACATGACAAATAACTTCACATAAAAATTTAAAATAACGTTTCAATAGTTGAGATCATGAGTCAATTAAAGTTGGACCATCACAGAGAACCCAGAAGCATTGGATAACCGTTTCGTCCTAGTGTGGAACTCCTCAGCGGTGTGCGTTCACGATTCCGTCTCGTCAGATTCAAACTCAGAACCTATCAGTTTCGAGCGTGAACGCTTAACATCTAGACCACTGAGCTAGCCTGCATCCAACGGTGTTAATGTCTAAATTCAACCAATCCACGAAGTTGCTCCACCGTCCACCATTGTCTTCACTGAGTTACTATCTCATAACAGACCCGGCTGAACTCAACTGGTCACTGCTTCTCACTAGAATTTCAGGAAATACCTATTGAAGCCAGTCATATTTTAATTAATAACAGAAGCTTCATTTGACTAATGATCTCAACTATTAAAATTACTATCAAAATCCACAACATAAACCCTTCTACTATAGAATTAACATTCAGCTAAGTTAACAATCCGTAAAATTATTGAAATCAATCCAATTTATCAACCAAATAGATAAGTCAAGCTATTATGAAGGAAGATGACAACTATTTAAGGTCAACAAAAAGAATTATTAGACATATGTGGTGAAATTCTCATAGTTTATTAATATTTGAGGTTTTTCTTCAACGATATGGTTTAGAAAGACAAGGAGAGCACAAAATATTAAATAACTTAATTTACAGAGCGTAATTTTAGCAAGATCTTCTTCCTGAACGACAGATCTCTACAATCTATAAGTGACATGAATACGTTAAGTTTATAGACTAATTATAATTTACTTAAACTGAATATTTTGATAGATGATTCTTATGAAATGGTGAATCATTTATATTTATATTTACGAATCAATCTAAGCTAAGATAATAAATATGATTGTAATATAGAGATAATAAACTAAAATGAAATAACTGAATCAGTGGTAAGATATACTCACGTTTTGCACTTCCTCCATCTGCTAAACATTGTCATTTTAAAAATAATAGATTTTAACAATACAGTTTACTTCAAAGTCAATAGTTTAACAGTAATATTGATATATAAATGAATACAATGCATTTTCCTGCGTACTAGTAAGAAACCATGGCCAGTAGAGTTAATCTCTGTCGGGTGTGAGACAGTTATCCATTGAAGACAATGGAAGATGATCACACGATGTCATGGATTGATTAGAGACATTAATATCGTCGTCAGTAGTGCAGAAGTTAAGAGTAAAGTTTGAGACCAAAGATCCTAAAGTTGATTGCTGTGTGTAGAATCGTGGATAAGTACCGCTAAAGAATTACATATTATGACGAAACGACCGTTCAGTGCTTTCACGTTTTTAATTGAGGTCTAACTTAGATCATTTCATGATTTCAGTTAAATGTAATAACTTTATTTCAAATATTTACCATTCACTGTTGACTAATCGAAACTTTATGTACATTTTTGTCTAGTGACACAAAACAGAATACCAGGAAACTAAGAAAATCTTCAGTTAGTCAATATTTCATACTATTTGAAATGATCCGCGGCTATTAATTTATATCGTGTAAATAGTTGGTTAATCTCATTTAGATTTATTCTCAAAGTAACTTGATGCTTTATATAACATGAAACTGTTAAAACCATTGAAAATGAAGTTAATCTCTGCCATCATTTATCAGTATTTAATTTAACAATGATCATATTCACCAACCGATAAAGAAAAACAACAAACAACTGAACCATTAACTGGCATTTTAACGACATTGAATACGTAGTCGACATTCCTGTTCATTATGAAGTATAGATATTAAAATGTTTGGAGTAGATATTTAGTTCTATTTGACAGTCAACTAAAAATATTTTTCCAGTAAAACGTTGGAAAGAAATGATCATTATTAAGATCCATTCCACTAACTCAATAAAGTAACTTTAAATTGATGAAAAATAAAATCAAAGTGTATAAGTCTTTGGTGGCCCTTAATCTAACTCCAATTAAATCGTATCAATGATTTTTGTCAAAATAGATATCCTGACTTTTCTCGTATATAATTATTGACTTAAATCACATTAGTCAATAACGGAATGAAATAAGTCAAATACAAGAATGGATGTTTGAATACGTATATTTTGTACGCTCATTGTTCTGGAAAGGTAATTAGAAAGATGAAGCGAATAGAAGAGAGCAAAGCGAAATGACTCGCGGTGGGGAAGGCATGTGAGCCAACTGCATTTCGATCAAGCATTAATCAAATATTTATGGTCACACAAAAATAAGTTGAAGACGTGTGATGAATATGATATTAAGTGTACACACACGCTCATATAAAAACAGTCAAGGTTGATAGGTGAATAATTAATAAAGTGGAAATGTGACTCAAGAGAAATAGATAAATCGTGCTGTTCAAAAGCTACAATAAGCTATATGGACTTAACATAGTAACCGACATTACAAGTCCAAGAAGCATATAAAAAACCTTTAGTTATATAATACTACCATTATGTATTGTGAACATCCTAGGTAATTATTGTCATCAGTGAGTAAATAAAATATTACGAAAGTGTTTTGTTCTTGTATTTTCCCGAAAAAAAAACAAAATACAAACAGCATGTAACCCTAAGTGATAAAAAGTACTCAAATATAAGTCTTATAACACCATTCATCTTCATTAACTTGATGAACAAAAAAACATAATAATTGAAATCATGAGTAAATTGAAGCTAGACCAGCAAGAAAAACCCGGAAGCACTAGACGGCCGTTTCATCCTAGTATGGGACTCCTCAGCAGTACGCACCACTGGCCTCGCACCCCACGAGATTCGAACCCAGGACCCATCAGCCTCGCGCCATGCGCTTGACCAACTAGACCACTGAGCCTGCATCCAACGGTGTTAATGTCTAATCTCAACCAACCCACGAAATTGCGCGACTATCTTCCATTTTACTGAGGTAGACATCTGTTTCTACTCGACATGAATTAGCTCCACTGGTCACGGCTTCTCACCAGAACTCCGAGAATTTTCTCATGAAGCTAGTCACTAGTTGGTTAAGCACCTCGAGCGAGAGTGATAGGTCCTGGGTGCGAGATCGTGGATACACACTGCTGAGGAGCCCCATACTAGGACGAAACGGCCGTCCACTGCTTCCAGGTTTTTCATGGTGGTCTAGTTTCAATCGACCCATGATTTCAACCAAAAACTTAGCAATCTCAACAACCCCTAAACTGGAAAAAATATATAATGAAGAAGTAAATCAAAAGGAAAAACAATATTTGTACTATTCCAGAATTAGATTATCTAACGTTTCGTAACTCAATTTAAACCGTTTCTTCAGAGACCAAATAACCACCATCAAAATGAATCCAAATTCTCTTGGATACGGAAGTCTATAGAAAATGTCTTGTTTTTCTTTATAATTCATATGTTAAATTGTCAATAATGTAATTCTATTGGTTATTACTTAAAGTTTTTTTGTTTTTTTTAGAAAAAGAAAAAGAACCATACGATTTTACTTTACTGAAATTATCCACTTGTTTTATAAAAACTTATCTGTCTTATTTTTAAAAGAGTAGTATATTTCAGTTTAGAAAAGTAAAAGACTAAAACAACTTATTACCTTTGATAACTTTATATATTAAATATCATTTATTTGCTTTTGATCATTTCGATACGATAATAATATCTTTTATTGTATGAGGCGAGAACCTGGAGAACTACGAAAACCATCATCCACAAAATACAAATGTTTAGTAACAGTTGTCTAGGCAAAATACTTCGGACCCGTTGGTCAGACACTATTAGCAACAACCTACTGTGGCAGAGAACAAACCAGATTCCATTGGAGGAAGAAATAAGAGAGTATGACTGGAAGTGGATAGGACACACATTGAGGAAAGCACTCAACCGTGTCACAAGACAAGCCCTCACTTGGAATCCTTAAGGCCAAAGAAGGAGTAGAGGAATATCAAAGAAAATATGACGCCGAGAACTGGAGACAGACATGAGAAAAATGAACAAAAATTGGACAGGACTGGAAAGAAAGGCCCAGGACAGAGTGGGTTGGAGAATGCTGGTCAGTGGCCTATGTTTCATTGGGAGTAACAGGCGTAAGTAAGACAGTCGGATTCAAGTTACGATTTACTCAACAGTTAGGTGTGAAAGAAAACTTACCAGTATACCGGCCTGTAAAAGAGATATATTATAATTAATCATTCTTTATTTACAAGAAGAACAAAAAGTTCAACCGATAGGAAGTAAGCGTGTTAATTTGGTTCAAATCATCCATAAATCTTATATTATGAGTTTTCATGATAATATATTGTGTAACAATTAATTTTAAAACAACGACTATATAAATAAGTGTAAATAATATTCTTATATACATTGAAACTAAGAACACAATTCAAAATTGTATATTGAACTGGAATAATTCAGAGTGGTAGAGTAAACTATTAATGAATTTATTGTTCATAGAATGAAGGTTTGTGGAGATTGCAATGATTGTAATGGTTGAATTCATGAGTCGATGTAAGCTAGATCACCAATGTGAACTTTGAAGCACAGGACAACCATTTCCTCCTAGTATGAGATTCCTCCAATCCGTGTCGGATAAAGAAAGGTATCTACCTCAAACAATGAATGGTCTCACAATATCATGAATCAATTGAAGTTAAATATTAACATCGTTGGATACCAAACAAATGGCCTAGAGGTTGAGTGTTCGCGCATGAGACCGAAAGTTTTGGGTTTGAGTCTGGCATACTGGGTCATGGATACGCACTGCTGAAGAGTCCCATAGTAGAACGAAACGACAGTCCAGTGCTATCAATTTTTCAGTGGTAGTGTAGCTTACGTTGACTCATGAATTCAATGACTAAGAATTTACTGTTATCAATAACTGATATTACAAGTCCGTATTGTGTATTGATTTTGGTTTGCATTTGGGAAAGCTATAATTTTCATTGCTTCTTTACAATAAAACTTTTCTTAAAATACCATTTTCCAGAAAAACTAACTGTATTTTATTTGTAACTTTTGCAATCATTTGCAGGTCATTAAACCAATCGTTATTCAGTTACTTGGTCAGACATTTTAAAAACACTGTATCCTTTGATCTCGATAATTTAGTTATGAAGCTTTTATTATTATTCTAGACAAAAATCATCAATATAAACCTTATAAACAATAATGTGTTTGTTTTAATTATGAGATTGGCTAAAGTGAAGATAATAACTTCATAACTATACCGTCTAGTTCGGAGAACGCAAAATCTCTAAAAAAAAGTTCATCTTTTGAGGATTTACAACTGTATGCAAACAGTATACATAACAACTGATAAGTGTTAAGCACCGCAAATGTATTTCATATTAATCTAGTAGTAAACAATCGATAAATATTATTTCCCTACAAAATATACATGTTTTTTCTTATTATTTTCTTATAATATCAAAAGGGATTTTGTGGAGATTTTAGTAATTTTGTGGTTACTATTGTTACTGAGATAGCAACTGTAATTGGTTAGAAGGGAGAGCCATTTTCTCTTTCTGGATGAATCAGTACGGTAATAGAAAATACAGCATGACAAATTAACAACCAATATCGTTCAAAGACACCAACGACAAATCTGTATACTGATTGTCTTGACTCGTTTTTTTCACCCCATCGCCAATGATATGTCTTGTCAGTTGAATGTTACTTCTTAGAACAGTTCATCGCTGGTTGTTGTGTCGGAAACGTTGATCACTTATACTCGAAACGAGGGACCTCTGCAATTCTCACAACGCGAAAGTAAGAACACAAATACTGGTATAAGTGTTAAGCGTTTCCAACGAAACAGCCAGCGACGACCAGATATAAAAAGTAGCATTTAAACAAAACAAGACGTATCAAATTCATAAGTCAATTGAAGTTAGACGACTATGGAAAACCTGGAAACACTGGATGGTTATTTCATTCTAGTATGGGACTCGTATATATTATTTTAGGTTATATATCCCAATACTTTCGAATTTAGATAATGACCATTACATTTAATTATTTACTAATAAATAAATACATACATATACACAATGAACATCATGTTAAATTGGAATAGCATATTAATTCAAATAGATTTATCATATTTTATTTTAAAAAATAAATATTTACTTTCATTGTCACCTATGGAAGCAAATCATGTAACAAAAAGGAAAAAAAGGAAACAACATATATGTAAGTATATAAACATATAAGCGAAGAACAAATGTAATTCGATTGTAACTAGTTGAATTTCGCTAGTGTTCAAGTTGTGGAATTATAATTGATCAGCAACTTTTTGATTATGCGTTTATTGTGCGGATGACCTTAACATTACTATCAGATGTAAAACATTTGAAAGTAAAGTTGGATAGTGAGTAGTAGTGAATGAATATTTCATTCTTTGTGAGATGAGCCATTGTGATATGCCTGCAGCTCACAGTTGATGTTCATTCTGAAACTAGAACTTAATAACTTTCGCTTCAAATGCGAATGTACTGATGATGATGATGATGAAATGTGTATCCTAGATTCTACTGCTAGCTACTACTCAACTATGCTTAAAATAGAACAAATAAATTTTAACAATTTAAGTCACAAACTAATATCAGATAGACCACCATTAAAAATTTAAAAGCTTAAGATGGCCGGTCTGTTCAATTGTGAGATTTCTTGACAGTGCTTAGGTCGTGGATGCTGACTGTTAAGTCAAATTTCCTTGAATTCTCTTTAATCACTTCACACTAAAGTGTTGGGCTAACTTCAAAATGAATCTTAATTTTCATTTAAATATTGATTAGATGAAGCTGAAATATGTTACACAATTAGTCACAAAAATTAATTCATTATTTCACAGTGCATTATTATAAGAGATCAAATGCTGTGAAATAAAACTTCAAGCCCTTCGAGTATCCTGGAAAAAAAACCATGACTGTTATGCAATTTTTATGTAATAATAAATTGTTCTGGAAAAATTGCTACAAGGGTAAAGAAAGATTTATAAAACATTTACGTAATATTACATAAGAACTTTCATCTAACGTTGATCGAATCAGTTTCACACTATTTAAGCATCGAGTTGATATGAGACATTAAAAAGGAAGAATGTATTTGTAAAATTTCATCGAATGGATTTGAAGTAAATCCAACTTTTTGCCTGACAATCTGGTTCAAACGTTTTCAAGGAAATTTAATCAAACATCAAAATTATCGATTATATAAATAGGTACCTAGATGCAAATACATTCTTCCCCTATCATTTACGTAATATTCACAATGGATTGTTATGTATAATATAATACTACATATCAATGTTGTATTATAAATATAATCAAGTCATTCAAAGCTTTTAAGAGTATGTACTTTCACTAAATTATTTACTAACAAAACAAAATGTTATTCGCAGAAGGGGTTTTGTGGAGATTTTAGAAACTTCACCGATTGAAATCATGAGTCAATTGAAGCTAGACCACCATGGACTAGTGACTGACTTCAAGAGGTACTCATGAAGTTCTAGTGAGAAGCCGTTACCAGTGAAGTTCAACCAGGTCTGTTGCAAGATATCAACTCACTGAAGACAATGGTGGACGGTGGCGCAAATTCGTAGATTGGTTGAAGTTAGACATTAACACCACTGGATGCCGGCTCAGTGGTCTGTTTGGTTAGGCGCCTGGCGCGAGACTAGTAGGTCCTGGGTTCGCATCTCGCGGGGTGCGGGACCGTGGATGCGCACTGCTGAGGAGTCCCATACTAGGATGAGACGGCCGTCCAGTGATTCCAGGTTTTCCATGCTGATCTAGCTTCAATTGACTCATGATTTCAATCAGTGAAAATATTATTCATTTAAGCTTTTTAAAATTAGAAACGAATGTTATATGTATTGTTCAATAACACACACTGAATAATAAAAAAAACCATGAATCTGTATCACCTTTTGTCATTGTTTAGTAATTTGTTGCAGTTATATCCCGATGAGAATAATGAATAGTAACTTTTGGAATCCATTTATGGAACAATATTATACGTATATTTTTATCGTATAATTTTTAACTAAACTATAGATATTCGTATTCTTCTTATTATGAGCTTTAGTTTGACCTATGAACTATTATTATGCGATTTACCACTCTTGAGTTTTGCCCTGTCTACCAATTACTATTTCCAACATTCAGAGCTACATTTGGCTAAATCTTGTACAAATGTTGTTTACTATTTTATGGTACCATGTGGTTTGTCTGGTTGATATATAAACCTAGTATGTTTGAAATACATAATTCATATCACAGAGGCTGAGATTGGTGTTCTGGACTTGACAGGCTGGGCTAGGCAGGAAGAAGGACAGATAAGGATTCTAGACTGCTCGTACTTGTTTTATGCGACATTGGTCCGATCGATAGTTCACTGTTCTCTGATTGTTGGGATCATTACGTTATACAATTAGTAGTACACAGCGCAGAAATTATAACAGTTGCTTATAATTATTATCCAGATGATAACAGTTTGTGAATGAAAACTATTACTATAAAACACATAAGAAATCTCATTGAATTGATTCTATTATCTTCATTATTTTCAGAGTTTATTTAAAGTTATAAGAAAGATAATTTCAAATATACAACTTACCAGATCTTTTAACTCCTTGATAATGTGGTACATTCCATCCGAAATCCCCTCTATTACCTACAGGTAAATAACGTCCAACAACATATGCTTTTGTTTGATCTTGACTTAAGGCTAATCCAAATCCAGCATGTGTTGTGGATTTCCAAATCATCTGAGTAAAATGACCTAAAAATATCAAAAATGAAAATGAGATTTAATTTGCTAACCAGTTGTGTCTTGACATGAAACATTTAAATTGGACTCCTTTTTTCATCTTATTTTCGAACACTTTTCCGCTAATATGAATAACCTGACATTAGTTTTAAAAAAAGTACAAATCATGAAAATAAAATAGCCAATGTATGGAATTGTAGACACTTACACTATTCCTGCCTCTTACCAATGTCCACATTATATGTTATTTGTGATGAGTAAGTTGTTATCCGAATCTTATATAAAATGCTAGACCTCTTAACAATTCATAATAAATATATGATTAGAGCTATGATTGTATAATGTCTGGTGTCAAATGATCAATATGAAATCCAGTTTAGTGTCACGACAACCTTTCGTAATTAAAATATGTTCTTCATCTACTCTGGTACATTTAAGATGAAGATAGAGTCTTATAACAAAATTTACGTGAAAGATCAAAGTTTGATATTTTTCTCGACTTTTTTGCACCAATCTGATGTATTAAATGCATTTTAAAAAAGTCTTGGAATACCTGACCAGTTGTACTGACTGTACATTATTTGAAACTAGTGTAGTTAATGACAGTTAGACAGTCAAATAACAGAAACACACTACTGAGTAAGCTGAACATCAGGTTAAATTTAGGAAATCTATTTAATTTAATCATTAGGACCAATCGAATTATTTCAACACATTCAAATAATGTTTTCTCTGTTTAAAACATTTAGCTATTTACGTACGTAATAAAATGCTATTTGTTTTTCTATTTTAAGCAGAGCTTAATGCTTAATGTATATCTCGAAACTAAATGGATAATAGAGATGGATGGTGGCTAACAGTGGAATCCAAGACGTGCGTTAAGTCCTATTTGGGACTTGTCAGTTGTATGTACCTGGATCGTATGGTACATGGTTGGAGTCCCGGAGTGGACATCAACTCTGACATGCCGATAAATTCAGCTGACGAGTCCCAAATAGGACGAAGCTTGTGTTCTGTTTAAAATGCTTGTAAAGTAATGGTAATATCGAGTCAATCCTCGTAGGATGTAAATATTCCAACAGAGACTGGTCAATTGCAGTGCTAAACAATAATTGAAAATATAAACAACCATTATATATGAATTAGTTGAGTAATGGGAATCTCTAAAAGATGAAATTGTTTTATACTCAATCAAGGTGGTTTAATTAAGATCCTTAATATTTCCAATACGTAGGACTATTCATTTTGTAGAATAAAGTTTCGTATTCAAACCACTATGTTTGTACAAAATATACACCACTCAATATAAATTTCTTTCTTTTTTAAATGAATACTAAGATAGTAAGTTTGAAGGTTGAAGAAGTAGTTGTACATTCAATCCCGATATTATTATGCAAAAGAATACTGAACTTTGATACTTTCATTCTCAAGTTAAGAGTTCCCGAAAAACACGTATTAATGGAACTGGTTAAAGAAATGACACAGTATCATATTTATCATTATGATCATTGCAACTCACGTGAATTTGGATGATAACATTGATTAAAGTCATGATAGTCAATCTCACTATACCAGGTTTGTGAAACTTCTTCACCTAAAAAGAATTATAGTGATAAACATGATAATAATATTCAGTAGGTTACTAAATGATCTGCATATTTAGTTAAAAGAAATAACGATTGTAGAATATATTTCATAATCTGCCTTTTACTTCCGGTCTGTTGAATAATAGTAAAAGATTATAAGCAAAGATGGATTGTAAGTGGACACACCTTTACTAAACCTTCAAACGATTTTCACATTTCACTATTTAATTAACGTACGTTTGAATCACGAAATGGTCTTTATTAGGTAGATTATTATTTACTAAGACCTAATATCTAATATAAATATATTAAATTATTAGACCCGAATAGACTTAGTTTTCATATTCTTTGATATTAATCAACCAACTGTTTTCATTGAATAAATGGTGATTGGGAAAAAAATCTAGATCCAGAACTTCTTTCTGATTGTCATAATCACTCAGGTAACATACTAACTGATAAACCTGAAATTCAGTTGTCCCAATTGGTATCTGCATACTCACTGGTCTAGAAACAAAATGTAACTTTTATTCAGTATTATTAATTTCTTAATAATTCATTGGTTATAGTCGAAACCTCCCATGTTATCAATATTTATATCTTTAACTTGTATAAGTTTTCTAAACCCAATCCTTTTAAAGGCATCTATAACATTAATCTAAAATTTGATACTAGTGTGGTGTGTGCTACCGATGTCGACAGATATAAGTAGTATATATCACCAATCTCAAGTGAAATGCTTGGAGGTAGACGTTCAAGAAGATCAAAGAGAAAAGAATGGTTAGTATGTAAATGAAGGAACAAGGAAGTCTGAAACAACTGATTGGCATTTTGTATAGTTGTATAGTTTTCAGATTTTATTAAGTGATTCTATAATTTTGTATTCAAATACATTCAATTGTCCCCATTGGTGTTCTTGTTCACTACACTAGTATCGATCCAACTGTAACGTAAGCATTAAAACCAACTTGATCAGCTGCTATAATACATTTCAATAGGACAATCCACAATCATGTGTATAACAAATGAAGTATCAATAATTACAAGAAATAACAGTTTACAGTTGTAACATTAAAAAAGAAATTATTAAGTTTACATTGTAAAACATTTGACAATTCATATTACATTCATTATTTAGTAAGTTCTATTTAATGTTACATTAATGTCATTCATATTATTAAAATACATTAATATTCATTCATCATTTGAACTATCATTAATTTGAGGTCAACATCAGGTGAGTAAAACTATTTCTTAATAGTACATACTGTTCTCAATATTGACCAATAAAAATTAATACCAATTTAATCTGCAATGTACTATTATGATAAGTTCAGATGGATAATCGCTAGCTGTGAAATCCTGGACCCGCGTTTCGTTCTATGTGGGGCTCGTCAGCTGGATGTATCTGCATCTTAGAGTTGATGTTCACTCTGGGACTCGAATTAAGTACCGTTCGTTTTAAACGCCATTGAGTTATCCACTTAGATACTGAGTTCTGATAGCCACTTGCTTGCGCAATAGGGTAAAGTTTATATTCACTTAGTATTGTTTACTTGAATCCTCCAGTTCATGTTTAGGACTTCAATTGATCAGTCTGTTAATGATATATGTGCATACTGTGCTCATTGCCTTGATATTGCCATAATTCACAAGCATTATGATCAAAGATGGGTCAAAGATGAAGCGATCGGTACTGGGTTCGAGTCCCGGAAGGAACATCAACCCTGTGATGCAGGTACACTCAACTGATGAGTCCCAAATAGAACGAGGCGCGTATCCTGAATTCCACAACAAACCAATATCTATCTTTGCTTATTATGCTTTTGAGACAATATCGAAGCAATACGCATAGTATGCATATATGCCAATAAGAGACTGACTTAATGTAGTTCTAAACATCAATGGAAAGATTCAAGTAAACGATACCAAGTGAATGTATTAGTATTTATAATCTTTTTTTCTGCATTAAACAGTTTGCATCAAATTAAGGCTCTGTTTATAACTCTATCACCAAAGCTGAGAATCTAACCATTAGTTAATAAATAACAGAATAGCATGATAAAGTATGTTTCAGTTACTACAAATAATCGAGTATACATTATTATTATTGAGTCTATGTTTTAAAGATTGCCTTAAGATGAACAACCATTAAATCGAAAAATTGAATAGTGATAAATATACCCTTGGCGATATTTCAATGAGCAGAAAACTGTATTTTTGATGTTTCGTGACTTAATGTAAGCCACTTCTTCAGAATAAAGGAAACATTGGGATATAACGAAAAAATATACAGTTGTTATTAAATTTCTATCTAATGCTCGATTTGTTTGAAAATATCAAGTCTAATCTTGACATTGATACTAACAAACTGAATAGTAAGGTGTTCATTGCGCGAACTAAATGTCATGGAGTAGTTTCCGTCATATGTGTTTACTCTAAAAAAGTTTCGAACCTGAGATAATACTTCTGTTTATTCAACTCCAAGATTTAATGTCTTTCCGTATGATGACAGTTTATGATGATATTAGGTCTTAAATGTAGTAGATCTTACGAACCAATTATTTAAGAAATACAAATAAATGATAAATAGCAACTAACTATGAATTTACTGCCTTTAACTTGATGTATTTTATAACGACTATATTTTAAACATAGGATACATAAACTACTAAGTTAGTAGCTATTCGGACTCAATGGCTTTTAGGATAACATTTCAGTGTTTTAACGGACAAATACTGGGTTCGAGTCATGATGACGACACCCATCTGGGAAAATTCAGACAGGAGGAAATGAGTATCATGTATTTCAGTGCCATTCAAAAGCAGAATATAAGAAAAATATGTCACCGACAACAACTCAATCTTCTCGCGATGCACATGTATGAATAGAATCTAACTAATTCTGGTCCCTAATAACAACGGAGGAAATATATAAATCCTTACAAATATCATGAAGTTATATTTGTTCATTCTATTTAGTGATTAAATCACCATGAATAGATCACTAACTCATGGAACTAACAGAATGGTGTGGGGAAAACAGTTGTAGAGTAGGAGGTAACGCTTCATTATAGTCTAAATTACATAAAAAGCAAAAGAAGTAAGTAATTATAAATGTTCTAACCAAAACGGATCTAATTCAAATCATAATTTTAACATTAGGATTAAAATTCATAGCCGATGCACAAGCGGACGACTACCTGGACTCATTAGCTAAGTAGTGGTGCGTTAACACTTGAGACAAAAGGCTCCGGGTTAGAAGTCTGTAGTGGATATCGACTGTGGGCACCCAGGTACACGCAACTGACAAGTCTTAAACAAGGGGAAATGCACGTTCCGCATTCCACTGTTATCTAAATTCCATTTATTCTATGGAGATGTTATTTTAATAACTGATTTGCAAATTTTAGTTTAATTCAATTTAGATTTCACTAAAGGTTGATATCAGATGACGAGATTTGTTATTATTTTGACTGAAACTATGATGATTAATCAAACCAACTGACCCACTTGATCAAAAATCAATTAGAGTGGTATATGTAGGCAACTGTAAATCGAACTGGAAGACTGAAGAAATTATAAACACCTTGAAAACTAGAGATCTGGAAGACATGGAAGTCTAAAAGTCTTTAACTAGAATACATAGTTCGTAACAAAAATAACCATCAAATCGACATTCCAAGTTACGATCAGTGATTCTATTATAGGTACCACACAGTTTCGAGAGAGCACTCATTACTGAATCTCTGAAATGAATTCTTAATAACAGTTTGGTAATCCGAAGTGTAAACAGTTTATATTATGTTACGAATAAGAACAAAAACCAGTACACACTTTGTTTTAAAATAGAATTTCTAAATTAATATGACTCCGTACATATAACAAACTGTTATTACCTGTTATTTGACATGGTGCCACAGACATTTTAAAAGCCAAATTTTCTCCATAATCATTATAATTACTATGATATAGTTTTTCAGCGTCAGCTAAATTTTCAGCCCATTTTTGTGCTGAAATCATTAATTCTTCATCTAATTGAAGTTCTCCACATCCATGTAAAGAACGAAGTCTTTAAATAATATAAGATATAAATTATAATTATATTATGCAATACACTATTCAGTTAGAAATCATGATTGTGATTATATACATCAAGATATGCATTTTTTATAATATGGTGCAATTCCATCAGAATAATGGTGAATAAAACATATTAGTGTGGATAGAATGCATCAGCTTACTAATATTAGCATAATATAGTAATAATAATGTAGCCTATTTATAGTGAATAGATTCATGTGCTCAGCTTTATGCTACATAGTTTGTGTAATAGTGCCCAGGAACTGGAATTCAATAAGATAGAGCTGTGTTTGAACCTATGAGTTGAATGCTACTATACCAACACTTCATCTACTCAAAAGATTGTCTTTAAATTACACCTTATATTACATTAATATAATGATACAAATAATATTCCATATTAACCTAATAGAATCATTTGATAACATTAAGTATTAGTGTTATCATTTTTATCATACACTTTCCTAATGTTTTCTTATTTCTAACACCAAATAATCTCTGACCTGTCCTTGCACACATGTATATATAGTTATTATTGTTGATCATTGTCATTCTAATTCTTTACATTCACTTATGTCAATTGCTCCACACTATACCTTACTCCAATGTAAAAGTCTAATACATATTTGGTTGTAATCAACTGATGAGAAACCACGATATATAATGAATTCATATTATTCTGCATCCATGTTCGTTCTGGCTTTATATTTAAATTCATTAAGGGAATTAATTGCATGGAACAATATTCTGATAAACTTTTAATCCTCTCTACTTGCAATTACATAAAGATTTCTAAAAAAAAATATCTAAAATTCCTTCTATTATATTACTGAACAACTAAAATGATACGGAATTTATGGAAGATTTAAATCGTTTATTTATCCATTCTGCTAGATGATTTGTACTACAAAGGTTATTCCGGTAAGTCACTAAGACTGGTCAATTAAAACTAATACGTAGCCTTATTGAAAATAAAATAATGATTTTATTTCAAACCTTAGAAAAAAATGTTTTTTTTTGAAATTGTGGATTCTGTAAATGTCCGTAAACATTTATCAGATTCAATATAGTGAAATGTATAAGCTCGTGTTGGTCAGAAAAATGATCTATTCAAACATCATTCTGTATAACTAAGTTGTAACAGAAATAGATAACCAATGTATTCATCAGCTCATCAAATGCGATACAACAGTGATTCATTTACTGATCAACCTATTGTTGCTGGAAGACAACAGAGAAATTCGTGTGACGTTCCTGAATAAACAAACGTCGTATTACTATCTTACTTAAAAGACAACTATTTGTTGATATGACTTCCCTATCATGGCTTTTTGCCGAAAATTTACCACCTTAGTTAATAAAGATTGATTAAATTAGTTCCTATTGAATAAAGATTAACCTAACTATTGTGAAAAAAATGACGTAACCACGTTGACAAACTAACCTCTTAGAATAACAGAAATATTCATATACTGGTTAATGTGTAATATAGAAATTAGTTTCTAGTGAATTATAACTATTTATTCAATATTATCTTTATGAAAAACCGAACGGTCCTATAGTATTCAATCAAGATAATAGTTATAAACTAATATACTGTTAAGTCTTACTAAAAACTATTACCTAGGTAATGATGCCTAATAGCATCCCGATAAAGCCTAACATTCTACACTAAATTTGTTGTTATCTCTCAAAGAAAAAATTACCAATTAATAATGTAATAAAGAATATTTGTAACTCTGATGATTAATTCTATATGGGTTTACTTCTCTAAGCTGGATTTTTTTAGTTGTAAAGTTTCCATTACTCTTCTGGACAATATTATTATTACTATTAGAATAAATCTCGAGTAGAAGTCAGAATCTTTACAATTAAATATCCCAGCTCATAGAAGTAAACTTCGCAGGAAACCTACTTGAATATCTGCTCTACCTTCTCCTATCATTTAGATATTTCAACAAGTTATTTGTTTTCGTTTGTTTTAACACATCATTATGTCTAATCATCACATAAACCATTCAAGCACTTTGTAAAACGTTTAAGATCTTTCGCTTTATAATTTATAAAAAATGTACAAACACAGACACCATAGTGTCTGACAATATACAGCAAAATGAATGAACATTATTGAGACATTGACTCCTGAACTGTTAACATCTAACTGGTTATCATTCAATATTTATCGTTGGGTTTAATCAAGAAATAAGAAAACGTAACTTGTTGAAATACATTGTGCTAAGACCTCTATATTGTACTAAACATATAATATTGAATAAAGCTGATGGTAATACTAATAATTTCAATGGTTAAGATCATGAGTCAGTTGAAGCTAGACCACCATGGAAAATCTGGAAGCACTGGACGGCCGTTTCGTCCTATTTTGGGACTCCTCAGCAGTGCGCATCCACAACCTCGCCCCTTGCGAGATTCGAACCCAGGACCTACTGGTTTCGCGCGCGAGCACTTAATCGTTATACCACTGAACCAGCATCCAGTGGTGTTAATGTCTAACTTAACTATTGTAGAAAAAATGATGTAACCACGTTGACAAACTAACCTCAGAATAACAGAAATATTCATATACTGGTTAACCCATTTGATATTAATACTAAGAATGTTAAAGTAGACAGTCACCAAACTGTTCATATACATATATACATATTAGTAATAAAATATCAAATTAACTGTTCACTTACCGATTATGCTCCCGTATAGCTTGTTGATTAAAACGTTCATTAATCATCTTAAATTAATACTTATTACTATGACTGTATCTTTAGAAAAAAAAAAGAAGAAACAGAATGAAAGAAATAAGAAAAAACAAAAAGAATAAGACCATAGTAACTATTGAATTTCACTGAATACTTTTCATTATTATAATCAACAATTAATATTGAATAAACAATAATCATAATTATCACTACGACTACTACTTAATGAATTTACAAAATAAAAAAAAAACAAATAAACAACCGAGTCACTTTTTTTTTAAAATAAACTTTCCATTTAAATAGTTCAATTTACTAAACACAAGGTTATTATAATCATTACTATTATTATGATGATGCATTATTATTAGTAAATTGAATATGTGTGTTTCTTCTTTATTCTACGATTGGCTTCACGTGATTAAAAAGAAGATCTAATTCATTCATTCATTCATTTTTATTGGTTAAAATAGTTGCTATGATCAAAATGTAAAAAAAATAATTTTTTTTTAAATTTTTATGAATTTATTCATTATTAATATAAAGATGAAGAAAAAAAACCCAATTCATCTTAATGATTGGATTATATAGAAAAATGAACGAAAAAAAGAAAGAAAAAAGAAAAGAAAAGAAAGATAGAATAGCAGAAAGAAAGAAAAAAAGATTGGTAACTTAAATAGAAAGAAAAGAAAAGAAGACAAAGTAAAATACTAATCACATACTGTGTAAAACATACAATTCCATTTGACAGTTTATTATTAAATACTTATGACAAATACAGGTCATAATGAGTTAGATGATTGTGAAAACTGTAGTAATAATAATAATAATAATAATAATAATACTTATTATTATAATTATTACCTTCAACATACTTATTCCTACTGAGTTTGTACTGATTTATATAGTTGTAAATATACATACAGATATGTGATAATTCTAAGGAGAATTTTGGTATACAATACATAATGGTATTAACTTTAGAATTCAATTCTATTGTGTATATATCTCTAGTATATTACATTAATGACATAGTTTTCTTCATCAGTATAACTAATGAATAAATGAGTAAGTACACGTGATTAGTATTAGAAATCTTTATAGTGAATTGATGAAACATACTGTCAATGATAATATTTTTTATGGTACATTTATACTTTAATAGGAAAATAATATACATACTCAAATGTATATAAATAAAGGAAGGAAGGATATACAGTTAGTTTTAAAGTCGTAGTCAATAAAAATAGAATGAACCGAGAGAAGGAATTTCGGTGAGACTCTAATTTATGGACGAGCCAATCAGAGGCGTTTTAGAGATTTCAAGGTTACGGCGCCAACTTCAGTGCTTAATACTAACGTACGATCGGTTCACAGGGAATTTTGTACAAAACGTGATAACTAAGCGGCTATAACAAATAAAACAGCGAGACTATAATTTGTGGACGAATCAATCTGGTATAAGATAACAGATCTCGGATTTCGGAGTGAAAGACTTTCATCCATTTGGCTAAATAAATTTCTGGCATTGTAGCTTATATCAGTTCGTGATGAAAACCGCATATATAATTCCTAACTAAGGCAAATTACGACAATTATTGAGAACTGGATAATAAAAGTACCAGTAACACTGGCTGCAGCCGGGTACTACAATGTATACGGATGTTTGGAGAGCGTACAGACTCCTACATAGGCTTGGCTATGTGAATCATGTGGTTATCCACAAGAAGCATTTTGTGCACTCATCAGCCGGTGTGCACATAAACAATATTGAAGCTATGTGGTCGATGCTGAGAGAGTTTTTGAGACTTTATCATGGCTCCAGAGGCCGACTATTCTGTAGCCATGTGGATGATTTCCTCTACTGCACGCATTACGATTTTAGAACCTCTGAACCACTTTTTAACCTTGACAAGTTTTTGAACCGCGTATAAGAAGTACATCCACTTTATTTCCTTGGTTTTGTATAACAAATTTTTACTCTATACTGACTGTTTGCTGATTGGCTATTATTTCTCAAGGTCGCTTAAGATTCGTTTAAAAGTCGTCCATAAATTACAGTCTCGCCGGAATTTCTTTCCTCTTAGTTTTTCATCATGACTCTGCAATAATATATATATGTAAGACTTATCGAGTAGATATGTTACGTAATAATTATATAATGACATATCGATTATAAACTAACGTTGAGTAATTAGAAGAACAAAAGGATAATCAATGTAATTATCCGAAAATTAAGCAGTTGCTACGTTTTCGGTACCGCCTTCCTTAACCTCTGAGTCACATTGTGTTTCTCTTCAAAGTAAATTAATGCTTATCATTTACTACATTTTAATTTGACCCTCTAGTTGTCCTACTAGATTCTTTCTAACTAAACTTTTAGGATAGATTATATTGTATAGATGATATCGGGTTATCTTATCAAGAAACACATGGAGTATTATCAACCTTTAAATAAATGTTACATGATGCTTCAAGATATTTATTGATTATGAGAAATAGTGATAATGATTTGTTCGCAGTTAGTTTCAGTCGAAGTTATGTCACATGAAAGCAAAATTTTTAAATTACAATGAACTGCTTATATACATAAGGATCACGAGAAACGAAGGTCGGTACGTTTCTCGTTCTACTTTTACAAAAACATTCAGGATGTGTCAGTGAATTTCTATCTTTGTCGTAATGCAATTATCAAAGGTAACAAGACTATATTGTGAAAAAATAAAGTGGAAACTATTCTTAATCTTTGTCCTTTACGTTGTTTAAAAAGTACATTCATTTAGCAAATGAAATTTCACAATCAGCCACTGATTTTAAATACAGTGTGATTGTATAACTTCTTTCTCAAGAGGAATCAACCAAGACTTAATATTGCACTGAGCTATTTTCATGTGATGCAAAAATTCTACTCAAACAGTCTAATGAAGTGATAAAACCTTTTAAAGTTAACTCCAATTGTCTTTACTTATATACTTATAACTACGGTTACAAGTACTTCAATGGAATGGAGTTTTATCTAGAAGGGTTTCTGGACCCATATAAAAGATGATGTCAATTAATATCCACAAATCCTGAGGTAGAGAAATATACGTCATGGATACAATAGGTCCCAATAGAGTTTTAGAATAATAGAAAGTAGCAGAAGCTATTCGTCATTTTTACTCCTATTTTGAATGATCCTACAAATGTTTAAAAAGGTTTATACGACAAATAACCTTTGCAAACATCATCCGTTCTCATTGTGAGATAGTGGGATTGTTGAATTTCAATTAAATCATGGACCAATTTCAGTCAGACAACTAATAGAACCCTGGAAGCATTGGATGAGTCTGATACTATGGTGAAATGTCTGTCCAGTGCTTCAAGGTTATTCATTCCTGATTTATTGACAGTAATACCTTTATTGTTCATTTTCTAATTTATAATTGATACTATAATAGACTTTATTATTCTTCCCATTAATCCAATACAATATTTCACATGTTTACCAATTTAGCTATTTACATGTTTACTTTTTCATACTCTCGTCAAATATTATTATAACTTCATACTTAACACTGTAGAATGATCTGAATCAAGCATCACTGAAAACTAGGGAACCCCGGATAGTAATTTTGTCTTAGTACACGAATCTTTAGTAGTGCACATGCATGACTCTGTCACCATAGGACGAATATATGAAGTTCAGTCTCACTCAAATATTCAATCTCTAAACCACTGAGCCAGCATCCAATTGTTGCGTGCTGTTGAATAGTCCAATGCCAGTATGAAGCAGCTCTCTACTTATTCCCGGTTTTCAGTGATGTTCTGCTATGATCATTCGTGATGCTAACTTTGAAATTGCGAAATCTCACTAGAAGTTAATTTAACTAAACCGCAAGTATATATGTGAAGTTATTAGGTTGATTATTCGTAAAATGAACAAAATAGTAACCTACAGGATAATTATTTAATGATAAACTAAATAACTCTATGAATGTTACGTACAAACTTGCATTCGTGAGTCTACGAAATGTAACATTCTCCATAAACCCCATTTACCAATGATAATCATGTACTCTCTATTAACCACTTCCATGAGGCAATTTATGAAGACCTAGTAACAACCCGTGTGTAATAGAGTTCAACCTAACATAGGTTTTCACAATGACAATGGATGTCAGCAGCATGATATCACAAGTTCACTAAAGTTAGACATGTAGACGATTGAGTGGTAACTCAATGATCTGAAGTTTAAAGATTAAGAAGATTCTTGAAAGTTTTAGGTATTACTCTTTAAAGAGATATTTAATGGGCATTGATGATGTGTCTTATACTTAGACTAATCCATTTTCTAATGTTTCTTGCTTCCTAATAGTACCTCAACATGAGTTAACGCTTGACGAATACAGTATCGGTTATGGTATGATCTATTTATTCTAGCTAATCGTTACCTCTAAACTAATTATATGAACAATATTTGATTTGAAAGTACTTCGCTTTTAGTCCTATAATATCTCTATTAATTGTATTTATACTCAAACTACACATCGGTTAAGAAAATCACAATATTCACCTGATAGTATACAACAATTTCTATGTAGAAACACTTGATAATCAAAATGTTTCATTATTATCCTATTCATATTTAAACTACCCCTTTTTCTATATATCTCAATCATTCTTATTATAAATGATAAAACTCATGATTAAATTGAGATTTAGAATAGAATATAAATATTACTGTGTTTTATTCATGCCTTGAAACTGTCATAATTGACTGATTCTACATAATACATTCTCATTGTCACATTGCAATAAAGATTTCGAATAAATGAATAAAATAGAATTATTATATAATAAAAATTATTGCTTAAAACGAAAAGGACAAGAATATGAAATTCTTTGAGTTTCCTTCATTTTTTATTTTATTTATTTTAACACATAGATATTGGTAAAAGGAGGCCTCAAATACATATGCGCTGCACGGATCTCATTTGATATGTGTGAGGGCTGTGATACTGCCTGGGTGCCTAGACCGAAACAGATGGTTTAC